TTGTACAAATAATTGCTCAAATTAATAGCTATTGTCTAGATGTACGCATGCGGTGCTATAACTTAAAATTTTTATTTATTATTGTTTTGTATTTTCATAAATTAGGCAAATGTGCTCGTTCTCTAACAACTCAGTTATAGAAATGAATTGCTATCCTTATTCATTTGTTGGAAGATATATTTTTTTGTCTAGATATATATCAATTTTTTCATTTAAAAAAAAAAACTTAATATCACCGATTATATTTACACATTATTGAAACCTCTTTGTAGACGACATTGGTAGTGGCAACACAATCTTGTTCATTTTCGTCTAGAGCTAACACCTTCAATCCATCAGGACATGTTACTTGGGTGAAAGTATATAATGGTAGAATATCACTCAATTAGTTATCCTTTTATATTTTCAATCAATTAGTAATATCAGATTCATTTTCAGCCAATTATTCTTTTTTTTTTTCCAGTCAATTAGATAATTAGAATATCAAATGCAATGATAGTTTTACCTAATTTTCGTTCAATTTTTAATTGTTGATGCAGATATTATTATTGAAATATTTCCGTTTCATTTTTAATTTACCTTTACTATTGTTTAAAATATACATTTACTATTGATAATGTATAATATTATTATTGAAATATTTTCCTCCAATTTTTAATTTCCATTCCATTTTTAATTAAAATGCAATGATCTAACCATTTCTTTTTTTATTTTTTTATTTTTTATTTTACTATTTGGCAATGTTCCCAAAATAAGCCCTTAGCTTAAAATAAGAGCTTATTTTGTAACTGTAGCGTTTCAAAATAAACTCCTGTCTTCCTAACTTTTTTCCATCTTTATCCTTATTATTTTAAAGAAATAACATAATTTACCTTTACCAATTAAAACCCTTTTCTCTTCTTCTTTCAACCGCAACTTTCACCGTAAATATTATTATTATTATTATTATTATTATTATTATTATTATTATTATTATTATTATTATTATTATTATTATTATTATTATTATTATTATTATTATTATTATTATTATTATGAGATTTGCAACAATATTGCTACTTTATTATGAGATGCTAAATCATGATTATGCTAATAGTTTTATTTCAAAATGTTCGTTTTTTTTAAAAGACAAAATGTTAAATTTTAATATGTAAACAAACTAATTTAAATTTTATAAAGATGTCCTTTTCAATCTTTTTTTTTTTACATTTATCAGCTTATCAAAACCCAAATTTTACCAAACACTTTCAATCATAACAGCTAGCTTAACAGCTCTTCAGTTTTCAGCTCTGAGCTTACAGCTTTTCAGCTAGATTTGCCAAACAGAGCCTTATGCTTTTTAAGACTTTAACATATCCATAACAATTGTGAATAATAGCAACATCTAGTTGTTGTTTATCAAAATAATATTTTTTTATAGTATAGAGAAAATAAAAAGATAAAAATCAAAACTATATGAGTATTTATGAAAGTTTTGAAACGTACATACCGTAAAATTTGATAGGAATATATTAAAAGTTTGTTTGGTTTACACAGAAATTTTTTTTTTTTAGATAAAGTTGAAAAGGTTGGGTGGGACTCATGGGAGGGTTGGAGTTCAACTATTTATATTTGTAAAGGAAAAATCTACGGAAATACTATACTAATGTTACAAATTTCGTCCCTAACGTTTTGTTAGTAAATGACGAAAAGTGCAACGCCGATGATAGCTTAGGAACAAAAAGTGAACACAACCAACAATTAGGAACGAATTCTACAATTATACTATAACTTAGGGACGGAAAGTGTAATTTTCTCAAAAATAAATATGGTCACGAAACAATAAATACATAATTGATATAGTCTTTTAAAAAAAAAAATCTTTTAAATCAAAATGTCTAAATAATGATAATAATAATAATAATAATTAATGATATAGTTTTTTTTAATATGAACTATATGATTATCGTAATATTACTTCTTATGTAATGCTTATTAATTAATTTGATTCTTTTAAACTTTTGGTAGTCGACTTTTAAAAAAATAAAAAAAATTAATATCTCATTTTTCAATCAAATGCCCACTTGCAATAGGGTGAATTTTGGATAAGTTTTCATAAAGTGAGAGAATTTAATATATTTGGAACTAAAAGCAAAATACTTTTTTTAAAAATAGGACACAATCAAAGTTAAATACTAAGAATAGAAAATCCTAAAGTTGAATATCATAAATAAAAATCTCATTAAAATCTATATTCTATATATAATTAAAAGTAAAATCCTCATTCCGCCATTTTTCCGTCCAAACTAATTGTATTGGTCAAATTATTTAATTATGGTAGACTATGACAACCATTTGGTAAAATTAGTTTAAAGGTCAATAATGCACATAATTTAATTTAAAGGACAATGATGCACAATAATAATATAACTAGAATTTAAATATTCTTTTATATTCTGCTACACTAAAAACGCAATGTCATTGTTTGGCAATCAGCAGTTAGCTCTTCAATATTAGTATATATTTAATATTTTATGCCCTAATTTTTATTTGCTCTCCCTCATGTCCCATATTTGGTTTCAAACATACCTACATAATTATTTTATTGACAATTATAATTAATCTGGACTATATTATCTTGTATTTGTAAATTTAGAATTGCCTATTTAAATACACAAATTTAACATTCAATTATCTATGCATGAACAATTCCAATATATATATATATATATATATATATATATATATATATATATATATATATATATATATATATATATATATATATATATATATATATATATATATATATATATATATATATATATATATATATATATATATATATATATATATATATATATATATATATATATATATAATCTTTATTTTAATATTTTGTATTTCTAAAATTGTAATTGATGAATATGGTTTTTTTACAATTTCAGGAAACTTTTATACATATGCATATTCCTCAAATGTATGTTGAAAAATGGCTCAACAAATTTAAAAAGGCAAAATGTATTGAATTAATAGATTTGAGGTGGTTTATAATGAGTATAGAAACAAAACTAATAATTTACTCTTATTATGCACTATATGTTTTTAATTTGCGAATTAAGAACATCCTCTTACGAATTTAGTTGAATTAAAATCGAATTTCCTAATTTAGGTCCAGTACTGACATTTTTGCAATGTATAATTTAACAATTTAATTTATATAGTTTATTTAATATTTTAAAAATACAATTTTAACAATATAGTTCCGATTTTGTAAATATTACACGGAATTCGTTGAACCAATTCATAAATGAGTGAATTGAATAAAAAATATTTATACAAATCTATATTAATAGTCAAATTAATAATAAATTTTATTAATTATTAATTAGCATAATATTAATTTATGATATTGATGCAGAATAAAAAATATTAATTATGCTCACATCAGCGTTGCACGGTCTAATTAATAGTATAAATTATTTATATAATTGCCTAATATTAATATTCAAATTAACAATAAATTTTATTAAATATTAATTAGTTAATTATGCTCCGTGATATACTACAAAGAACTAGAGGACTAGAGGAGCCTAATTGTACATGTCTATATTAATTGAATAATAAATATTTTAAATATGGCAAAATATATACTAATTAATTATGAAATATTATTATGATAATATTACACGGAATTATTTGAACCAATTCATAAATGAGTCAATTGGATAAAAAATATTTTAAATATGACAAAATATAGACTAATTAATTATGAAAATATTATTATGATAATATTAAATGAAATTGGTTTAACCAAATCATAAATGAGTCAATTAATAAAATATATTTTAAATATGACATAATATAGACTAATTAATTTTGAAAATATTATTATGATAATATTACACGAAATCGAAATTGGTTGAACCAATTCATAACTGAGTCAATTAAATAAATTATGAAAATATTATTAACGTGTACATTTTTTGAATTAGGGAATAATTAGCATGTATTCCTTATATGGTATTATGCAATATATATATATATATATATATATATATATATATATATATATATATATATATATATATATATATAGAAGAGCGCTCATATGCGGCGGGGTCTTACGGTGTGGCGGTGCGGTCAAATTCCAGAATACACCAACAGTGTTAACAATATGCACCAACAGTGTAATAAAAACACACCCCAATGAAATGTAATAAAACATCACAAAATACACCAGACTCAAAAAAACACACCATATAACTCACCACCCCCAATGGTGTATTTCCGAACAGTGTATGGTGTTTTTACTCACACCTAATGGTGTGTGTTTGGTGATGCAGGGCTCTGTTTACTCTGTTTTGTGTGGTGTATTTCCTAACGTTGATGGTGCATATTTGGTGAACTATTGGTGTTGCCGCACCGTAAGACACTGCCGCACCTGAACCCGCCTATATATATATATATATATATATATATATATATATATATATATATATATAATATCAAAAATTAATTAACATTAATGGAATATTATAAATATAGACTAATTAATTATAAAAATATTATTATAATAATATTGACTAATTAATCATGAAAATATTATTAACCTGTGCGTTTTTTGAATTAACGCGTATTTCTTATATTTTTTTATCGAAGTCGAATATAAAAAAATCTAAGTCATACATGATTACATGAATATCGTTATAATCTAGAATCAAAAGTAAAATAAATTTTAAATAATATGAAGAAATTAAGATGTTATTATTATTATTTGTTTTCAATAAACAAGATGTTATTATTGTTAATATTAATAATAATAATATATTATAATAATAAAAATATTATTATTATTATTATTATTATTATTATATTATCTCACAAAAAAAATTATTATTATATTATTCATCATTAAAGGAATGGAGATTACATTAATAAATAAAAGGATTTTAGATTGAAAATTGGTTTCTATTAAATTTCATTTATATAGCCCAAAACGGGAGAGGAGACCGGGCAGGGTTTGAGGAGGTTTATATAAAGCCGCCATCGTCCTTCGCTTCTTCTCAACCTTGAAACCAAAATCGCCATTACACTTTGCTTCCATCTTTCCGCTCATTGTCTGTTAGCCTTCTCATTCTTCCAACTCTCCGCTCGCTCGCTCGAGTTTCTCCAAAGCCTTAGAAGAAGGTAATGCATCGAAATCTCTCTCTCTCTCTCTCTCTGGGCATGTGTATGCTTCCATTCACGCTGCAAAGATACGTTTTTGAGTTGAAATTTATGAGTTTAAACGAGTTTAAGTTTCTGGGTATTACTGGGTTCTTGTCGTAACGTGTCATTCTGCGTTTTTTTTTTCTTTGTATGGATATTATTACTGTACTACATTGTAATGTGTGTGGAGGGAATGCGATGAATTTGATGGTGGCTATGGTTTCTTTGTTGTTCAGACATGAAGTACGTGCTGGTGACCGGAGGAGTGGTGAGCGGCCTCGGAAAAGGAGTGACGGCGAGTAGTATAGGTCTCATTCTTCAGGCCTGCGGACTTCGTGTTACTTCCATCAAGATAGGTCTCTCTCCGCCACCATTCACTGTTTTTGTCCTTATTTCTTCCGCCACAATCAAGAAAAATCACGGAAGGCCGCCTCTTATTTTTTCTTGTTTTTCAAACAAAAAAGAAAAGAGGGAAATGAAATGCTAAAGATGTCAAGCTCTCTTTTGTTTTTTTTTCCTCTTTGGCGACAAACACAAACCCAAGCTACTTTTGGGCTGATGGGAGACTCAAAAAGTTACTGAAGCTTATCTTTTCAAAAAAAAAAAAATTGTTTTTATCTTTGGTTATTTGAACTCCCTAAAATTGAACCTGCAGGCACCCCACTTTACTATTGCCTTTTGGTCTCATTACAATATGTTGAAACACTTTTCTTGGAAACTTCTAACTCATTTTGACCCTCATCAGATCCTTACTTGAATATCGATGCCGGAACAATGTCTCCTTTTGAACATGGTGAAGTATTTGTCTTGGATGATGGTGGTGAGGTCAGAAGAACATTTTTCTTATATAATTCATGTACAGCAACATTGGGTTGGGAAAAAAGGAAAAAATAAAATTGTATATATTATCTGATAGTATTTTGTCAAATAGTGTACTAACTTGAAAGTGATCATGACAACTAATGCTAGTTTATCTTCCTACTAACCAGACAACACTTCAAGAGTACTTACTATTTTGGATCAAACAGCTATTAATGAAAATTCATATCTGTTAAACCAATGAAAAACAACATATTCAACTTAATCTTAAGTAGAGTTACTGGTCAATAGTTATACATTCTGTTTTCTGCTTTATTTTTCCCCCCATGTATAGGGAAATTAACTGGAGGGATTTTAAAGTAATGCTTTTTCTTTGATGTCAACTTAACTTTGACTTGGTGTTTCTTTTAGGTGGATCTAGATCTTGGGAACTATGAGCGTTTCCTGGATAATAAGCTGACGCGGGACAACAATATAACTACTGGAAAAATTTACCAGGCATGTATTTACATTCAAAGTTTTATCTGTAAAAGTCTTGTATAGCTTGACCCTTAAGATTGTTATCTGTTTGGCTGGCCAAATAAATCAAATGGCAACTGCTTCTTAATTTTTCAGTCTGTTCTTGAAAAGGAGAGAAGAGGAGATTATTTGGGTAAAACTGTTCAGGTTTGTCTTATTTTTGGAGTTTCTACTTTGTGTTCTTCGTATATGGTGTCAGTTTGTTACATGTATGATACAATCCTTGTTCAGGTTGTCCCTCACATTACAGATGCCATTCAAGAATGGATTGAACGCGTAGCAGCCATTCCAGTTGATGGAAAAGATGGCCCAGCTGATGTATGTGTCATAGAACTGGGTGGAACTATAGGTAACAATTATCTTCACACGGGATAGCGTTAATTCTTCTCTGCATAGGTGGGACTGAGAATTACGTCTTGTATTTGGTGTAGGTGACATTGAGTCGATGCCATTTATTGAGGCTTTAGGACAATTCTCATATCGCGTTGGTAAGGTTATCTGTCTAAATAAGAAGAAGAGAAGCATAAGCTTCTAAGTTGAATGATTTGTGAACTCAAAATTAATTTACTTTGTATTCAAGGGAATGTCAATCATGGGATAAATGTCTCTTGTTGTTTAGATATTCATCAATGTTATGCTTTTTAGGTACTGGGAACTTTTGCCTGATACATGTTAGTCTTGTGCCGGTTTTGAGTGTTGTTGGTGAGCAGGTGAGTTTTATGGTCCCACCATGTGTTTTTATTGCAAATTTATGTTCTTAATAACATGCAAATTAAGCATATATATTGTATTCAAATGTTCAGAAAACAAAGCCAACTCAGCACAGTGTAAAGGGATTGAGAAGCCTGGGATTGACACCAAATATCTTAGCATGTCGGAGCACTACGGTATCTCTCTATCTGGTTCTTTTTTTTTTTTTTTTTTTTTTTTTTTGGTTAGACCATGAGGTCTCTTGAGCAGGCCCTAATTGTAGGAGGCACCTGTAAGCCCGTATCATACTCAGACTAATCCCCATTTGCACCGGGCCGGCCCAATAAAGCGGCAAAGTGCTAGCCAGATTGGTTTTTCCATACGAGAGGGGGTTTGAACTCCCGACCTCTCTTAAGGGATGAGAGTGCACGGCCACTCACGCTAACCAAGCTGGTTTCTGTCTGGTTCTTCTTATTGCAAGTGATGTGTGTGTGTGTTTATTTCACCTAAATATAAGGATTGACTTCTTGAGGATGATTTTTTTTTTTTTTTTTTTTTTTTTTTTTTTTTTTTCAGCAACTTGATGAGAATGTCAAGGAGAAACTTTCCAAATTTTGCCATGTTCCGGTATGATCAGTGCATATCACATTATCATGTATCATGTATGGATCCATTCTATAAGCAGTTGAATTTGTAAGGCTATTTTTGATGTTCTCTGCGTGCTTTTCACTCCCAGGTAGAGAATATTGTCACTCTTTATGATGTTTCCAACATCTGGCATGTTCCTTTGTTGCTAAGAGTGAGTAATTTTAGTATAGTTTGTTTGTTTCTAATCTATCCCTTATATTTTGATTCAATGCAAAGTAAAACAGTTGTTTTTCTTGGTTTAGGACCAGAAGGCGCATGAGGCCATTTTGAGAGCCCTGAACCTCAAAGAGTTTGTCTAATAAGCTCCTTAATTCTTGCATTGCATTATTCTTCAATAATTTTTTGTTTGGATTTTGGAACTTTTTTTTTCTCCTGAATATTGAGCATAGTTATTACATTGTAATCTATTTCTTCTATAGTTATGATATTGTTCTTTATCACCCTCAGAGTTGCAAAGGAACCTGAATTGAGAGAATGGACATCTCGTGCTGAACTTTGTGACTTGCTACATGAACCCGTAGGTTCCTAAATTCGTAAAATTTAAAAGGATTCCCTTTTATTTGCTTTTCTCTTTCTGAACTCGATGCTATTTGATTAACAGGTAAGAGTCGCCATGGTTGGAAAGTACATGGGGCTGTCAGATTCTTACCTCTCTGTACTGAAGGTGAACTTAATCATCTTTGATTTCGTGTTTTATTCACTCTTCTCAGAATATATAATGAATCTTCGTTATTTGCAGGCTCTTCTGCATGCTTCTGTAGCTTGCCGCAGGAAACTTTGCATAGATTGGGTCCCAGCTGGCGATCTCGAGGATATTACTGCAAAAGAGGTATTTTTAATTCCACAATCTTATGTTCATGTTTCCATTCTTTTTGTGAACGAATCTAAGTTGACAATTATGTCGTTATTTACAGAATCCTGATAATTATAAGAGTGCTTGGGATCTCTTGAAGGTTTGTCTCGTGTTCTCTGCTACGATTTATGCCACTTTTCAAATGGTTCTTTTGACATTATGCGATTCTGACAAAGACCTTATCTTTTAGGGTGCAGATGCGGTACTTGTTCCTGGCGGGTTTGGGGACAGGGGTGTGGAAGGTAAAATACTTGCAGCCAAGTATGCTCGGGAAAACAGGATTCCGTACCTTGGAATATGTCTTGGAATGCAAATCGCTGTAATTGAGTTTGCTCGATCGATTCTTGGTTTAAAAGACGCAAACAGCACTGAGTTTGATCCAAATACTCAGAATCCCTGCGTAATTTTTATGCCCGAGGTTAGGATTTTGTATGATTCCGTTATGGACGGTGATATAATCTGGGTTTCTAGGGTTCAAAGATCGGTCTCATGTATACATCTTAGCAGGGCTCAAAAACCCATATGGGTGGGACTATGCGGCTTGGATCCAGGAGGACATATTTTCAGGTCGCAGACTGTATTTCCGCTAAATTGTAAGCATTCTTTCTTCCTTTCAGAGAAGCTAACCCTTAAATGAATTCACTTTATGCCCTCATATTTGACCCGAATCTTAAAACCTTACTATTTTGTTTCAGATATGGCAATAACGACTTCGTTGATGAAAGACATCGCCATAGATATGAGGTGCAATACACATTTTTGTTTAGAATAGTTCAAGTATTGCACGTGTATGAAATGTATATCCTTCGTTTAATACCTATGGTTTAGTTTTTTGGCTAAGAAATCGATCATGTTGCATAGGTAAATCCCGAAATGGTTGAGCAGCTCGAAGCTGCCGGTCTTTGTTTCACGGGCAAAGATGAAAGTGGTCGTCGCATGGAGGTATATTATGACTTAAAATTGCGAAAAGTGGTAATTTGCAATGGCAATTAAATTTTTAAACTTTCTTTATTATCATCTTCAATTGGTACGGTTACCTTTGCAGATTTTTGAACTGTCTAATCACTCTTATTTCGTCGGGGTTCAATTTCATCCCGAGTTCAAATCAAGACCCGGAAAACCTTCTGCTTTGTTCGTAGGTACTGTCTGTTTTCACGAACCCTTAAAGTTGAAACATATATTATCCAAGAAAGCCTCGGGTTCATTCTTACGTTTTGTTGCTCTTCTTGTAAACAGGGCTGATAGCAGCTGCGTCTGGGCAACTCAACGGCCTTCTTAAGAAGAGCGCGAGTGGGTTGAGCAACGGCCACTCGCCAATAAAGCCACCGCACCAACATGAATATGGAACCAAACTTGTCAATGGCATTCATTGCAATGGGAATGGAGTTCATATCTGAAGGAGGAACTGAACTGAACTAAAAGAACTTTTCGGCTTTCTCAGGCTTTGATATTTACCTTTCTTCTAGCTTTCTTTCCAACAGATATGTATAGCCATGTTAGAGTGAATAGGTTTACAGTGGCTCCTATAATAACTTGAATCACAAGTTAGAGCTCGATTCTGGTGTTCGTATACAGCACAGGCCAGCCGTTTCTTCAGCCAAAAAAGAAATGCTGGTTTTTAAAGCAGGCCTGCTTAGAACAATTGGGATGATTTTACATATGAGTTTTTATAGTTAGCAAGTTTTAATCACTAGGTATCCAATGATGTCTGTGATTCCTAATTGGCTGTTAGAATGGAATATATGTTATTGGCACATTGGTTTTAGAACTAATTTACCTGCATCAGTTTTTTTTTTCTCCTCTATACTTCTTTGCCATGCAAGATGCCTACTTTTTGGTTCATATTCAAATAATTGCATTGTACAGTTGAAACGTAGGCTCTTAGTCGATTCACGTAAATTTGATCTCTTAAATCCTGTTTTCCTGACATATCAGTGTTCGACAAGCAAAAACTATTTGATTTAGATATGTTAGTACTCAAAACACATCTTCACAAATTTATTGATGTTGCTCGCTTATCTATCCGTGGCTTCTCCAAAGAGCATAAGATCATATGTAAAGAAAATGTGAGAAATCCCAATTTAAACGAGTCCCCTTTGTTAGGAGATTACTATTTGTATTGTACTAAGACTCCACTTTGTGTTCAATACAATTCAGATTACTCAATCCTCATTTGGTAACTCACGCTTCGGGTTTGTTGTAGACCAGCTCTGTCGAAGTCTCCTCCGAACGGACTGTTTCCGATACGGTTCCGTCTGTTCCGATAGTGGCTAGCAATTCCCTAACCTCGGCACACCATTTTGTGCCGATTAAACTCACCTCCCGGAATTACCTTTTCTGGCGGACTCAATTGCTTCCCTTCTTGCGTGGATAGGGTCTTCTAGGGTTCGTCGACGGGTACGCCTGCCCAGAGGTTGCTGTTCTGGCTTCGTCCTCAAAAGCTGCTGCCGTGGAGTATGCGTCTGCTGCTCTGGCTCGGATTGCTTCGCTCCAATAGGCAAGCCATTCTCTCAATGCTAATCTCCTCCATGTCTAAAGAGATTATGCATCTAGTGGTTGGCAGGTCCATGTCTAGACAACTATGGTTGTCCATTGAGCAGAGTCTCGGTTCTACGACTCGAGCGTAGGCATTGCGTCTTCTTTGCTAGTTGCAAGCTCTCCAGCAGGGAGACTCGTCCGTCGCCGACTACCTAGGATGGGCACAGGTTCTGGTCCAGGACCTAGCCTTGGCGCTGGTCGGTTGGTTTGTGACAAGCCATGAAGTAGCTCATAATTGTGCTTCATTTGTACTAAATTGTTGATTGAATGCTAGGTAATTGCACTGAAATGAGGCTTTGTTCATGTGTTTATGGATCGAGGAAAGGAAATTTGGACTTCGGCATGCAAGAACTTAAAATGAGAACAAATCAGGATGATATCGAGGCAAAATGATCCCAAAAAATGGAAAGTCAAAAGCATAGCACGGAGCAACGGAATAGCAGAGCGAAGATCGCGTCCAAAGGTGCCTCCAGAGGGTGTCACGTCGTGACCATCATCGTGACACTTTGATTCCTATTGTGGCTATCGTTGCATGAATTTAATGACTAACAAAATATTCATCTGTTGTCATTTATGATTTGATGAATATGTGTTTCCGTTTGCCTCATCTTCATCTTTGCTAGGGGTGTTCATTCGGTTAACCGTTTGGTTAACCGAACCGAATTAACCGAATTTTTTTTTGCTTTAACCGTTAACCGAACCGAAATTTACTCTACCGAATTGACCGAACCAAACTTTTTTTTGGTTAATCGGTCGGTTAACCGATTAACCGAAATTTTTTACCCTAAAATTTAAAATCCATAAAATAATTTCTAAAATAATAATTCCAATTAAAATAAAATACATATCATAATAAATTCATATTATTATTTATTCTATTTGACATTTTGACTATTTATGATTTTAGTAATTATATATTTAATATTTAATATATTATATATTATATATATATTCCAAAATTCGGTTAACCGACACTTTCGAACCGAATTTACCGTTAACCGAATTTTGGGAAAACCTTTAACCATTAACCGAACCGAAATATTTTGGTTCAAAAACGGTTAACCGAATTTCGTCGGTTCGGTCGGTTAACCGAAATTTCTCCGAAATTTGCACACCCCTAATATTTGCAGCCTCCTATTTCTACTCTACTGTAGCTTTGCCGTGGGGTGTCTCCAGTGTTGCTACAAATGGTACGCCGTGGTGTGCAGCTATATATATTTGTTGGTTTATGTAGATGACATCTTGGTGATGGGCTCTGACTCACATCGTGTTTCGACTCTTGTGGCCAAAATGGCAACTGAATTTAAAGCACAAGATATAGGTTCTCCATCTTTCTTTCTAGGCATTGAGACCATCCCGATTGAGATTGACATGCTTCTGTCACAACGGCGTTATATGAGTGATATTTAGAAGCGGGCTGGCATGGTGGATTGTAAAGCCTTGGCCACTCCGGTTTCGTTGGTTCGTAGTGCTGATGATGAGAGTGTGACTCCGTTTGTTGATCCGATTCAATATCGGAGTCTTGCTGATGCTCTGGAGTATCTTACGGTAACTCATCTCGATCTGTCTTTTGCGGTTTATAAGCTTTGTTAGTATATGCATGCGCCTACCACTTCTCATTGGGGTATGCTTAAGCGTGTTCTTCGGTATGTCAATGGTACTTTGCACTATGGTTTGCATATTCATAAGTCGTTATCTGTTGATATTCATGTTTTCTCAGATTTTGACTGGGCTAGTAACTCGGATGATCCGAAATCAACGAGTGACTTTGCGGTGTTTTTGGGCAACAATTTGGTGTCTTAGATTTGTCGCAAATAGCGCACTGCCGCTAGTGCGCGTGTTCTTCTACTGAAGCGGAGTATAAAGCTTTGGCGGATGTATCTGCGGAAGTCACGTGGTTGGTGTCCATGCATGCTCAAGGAGCTTGGTCTGCCTCTTGCTTCTCCACCCAAGTTATGGTGTGGCAACTTGGGTGCTACATATCTGTGTGCCAACCCCGTGTTTCATGCCTGCATGAAGCATGTGGAAATTGATTACCACTTTGTTCGGGATAAGGTTGCTAAAAAGGAGATACTGGTTTATTTTATATCGACCAAGGACCAGTTAGCTGACATCTTCACCAAAGCTCTCTCAGGAACGCGGTTTGCTTTTCTTCGTACCAAGCTCAATGTTGTGTCTCATCAACCTTGTGCTTGAGGGGAGTGTTAGAGACTACTATTTGTGTTGTACTAGGACTTGTATTCTATGTTTATATGTATGTCTTGTAAACTTTGTGAGCAATACAATTCAGATTACTCAATCCTCATCCCCTTGACATAGCCCTTTTCCATAGTTTTTTATTAAAATAAAATTTTCCCATTCTAGAGAATAGAAATTTGGTTATCCTTAATAGAAAAGAGAATAATATCTATTAAGCGCCTTGAAAACCGAAGTTTTATCAAAGTGGACTTAAGAAACTCCGAATCTAGGTTGCCATATGCCTTATAAATGTCTTATTCGATAGTCATCAAACTCTTCTTTTGTTCTTCCTTTCCAGATTGAAACTTGTTCTGATTAGGTTGATCATTTTTTTTTAATTTTTTTCATAATGGGTCTCATTGGTTAACAATGACCTTTGAGATGATCTTGAATGCCACGTCAAAAGAGTGATATCATATGCCTAGTGTTGCCCACATGCACTCTTTGGTCTCTCCTTCGAGATGAGCATTATGAACGCCATAAGGGCATTCCAATTAGAGATTTTTGGATTGGTTTTTGTATATATAAATCTTAGAGCATCACCATTAATGCACTCCAAACTTCTTCATTCAACAAGTCTCTGCTTCATTAAACTAAAATGGTAAAGAGGAAGTATTATGTATCAAACACCATTCTTCTACAGTACGAATGCTACAATATTAAGGTAATAAAACTAAGCAATAGCCATTAGCCAATAGATCTATCAAGACTAGGTTAATAAACCTTCACAAAATATTCCAAACTCAACTAATACAAGAAAACAACAAAATTTTAAAAAATCAATTGCCAGCAAAACAATTACAAATCACTAACAAAGTAGATTGATTAACTCAGATCCAATCCTTTGGGTTGATACAAGCATCCAATAGCCGCCATTCTTCACTCCCCTCTTCTGGTTGCTGCAATGAGAATAGTATTGTCCAATAGAGTTTTGATTCTCTTTCATTTGGATTAACTTCATCATCTAGCCTATTATTCAAGAGAATTGCAACGAGCTATGGGGTTGAGCAGACTTACGTGGGTGTACTCCCATCGTGCAGTTAATGGAAGAGAAACGAGAATACTCTCTATCCGGCCTCCGGTCTTTAGTCCAAATGTTGTTCCACGGTCATAAACCTTCGGTTGAAGATAAACAAACAAGTTAGAGAGCATGTACTTTGCGTAGCCTCTTCAGGAACGTGGAAGCAAGTTTTATACCAGGTTGAATTCTACGTAGCGCCCCCTACGTAGTTGTTGCCATTCCTTGTGAGTGTCTGTGAAGGGTGTATCCTTCCTCTTCTCTACGATTGGTATATATGCAGGGATGACGGAATTCGCGCACTCTGCAATCCTGACAACTCAATTAAATAATGCTGGTTTTGATCTATTGAAATAAATGAAAGGCACTCTGCGCTCTTTCTCCTCTTCCCCCGAAAGGCTCATGCAACACTATGATTTTATGTGTCTCTTTCCTCGGCTGTGTTTAAATGGGATTTACTACCATTTTTGTTGTTGTAAATGGAATAATAACCATGCTTCAAGGCCACAGGTACTTTTTAGCATCTATCTATACCTAGCAAGCACACCACATTTAAACTTTCTGTGTCTGTGTCTTTGTACTATAACAATTTATTTACTCTCCAGAATTAAGACACTTGAAAATGATGACAATTGGATTCTAATTTGTCCTTGGCAGCAAGATTCACTTGAATCTCATATCTTTTATCCTCTTTTTAAAAGGCCTTGTTAGTATTGTCCAAAATGTAAGCAGTCTTTAAGAGCAACTTACCTGTAGCAAAGGAAAGAAGCATCTCTTGATCATAGTTATTTAGATCATCAAAGAAAATTCCTCCAAGGCCTCTTCTCTCTCCACGGTGCTGCATAAGACATCAAATCCTGCTAGACATTAGCTCATAACAACAGAAAATTATTACATCTTGAAGTGAAATTGGGATTAGGCAGAGAGCTAAATAAAGTGAATGGAAAGGGTGCTGAATAAAATAGGCAATTCAGGTATTTCCTTCTTTATCCTAGCACGATCCTAAAAATAATATTTTTATATTAAAAGCCTAAACAAAAGCTACAACCTTCATGAAAGACTGAAATCGGTTAAAGGGGCCTATGTGTTGGAGATTCCAACTGTTATGTGGCATCATTAAAACAGATTATGGATACACTTAAAAAATCAGTTACTTGTAGAGTTTTGAGATTCAGTTTCAATTCATATTGTTATTTATTTATTTATTTTGGTATGAAATAGATGGCTTTGCTCCAGAGGTACCAAAATTCATACTGTGATACCACAATTTAAGGATGAACTTTCAAAAAGTCACATACATGATAGAAAAATAAAAAAATATAAGTAGCACATGCTCTTCCACCATATGATCAATCAGTTTTTTGGGGGGTACATCTAAAGGGATTGAATCTGAGAACTCTTACATAGAGAATGCCACTAGACCAATCATGACTAAACTAAAGTTAAGGATCAAAATTCTTACTTCCCCATTTGCTGGCTTTAGATTCTTGAGTGCAAATCATGGCAGGTAAGATGCTGAACAGAAGGAAAAAAATATTTGTTCCTTGTTTTCTTATTCTGTTCCACTTGAGTTCATATGAAATTTCAAAATATTATGTTGAAACCATATTCCCCAATTCAAGAAAATGTTAGTTTTATGCTAATATATAACTGATTACTTGGACGTCTTTAGTGATGCTGTCCAACTGTGGCACCATTTCTTTTGCTGCATACTGAATTACTGAATTTCAGGAGTTTCAATGAACTGAATGAAGAACTACTCCCTTAAAACATTAAATACTCCATGGTTTTCTACACATTTACATCCCTGATAGAAAGGATTGGCTTTATACTACTCCAATATATTTTTTAAAGAATGAGGAAGGAACCAATGATTAACATACAGAGACTATATAAAATTAAATCATATGAGCAGAAGAATTTCAAAAGTGTACCTTAATATAAAAATAATCATCACACCATTTCTTGAATCGAGGATAGAAGCTGGGATCAAACTTGTCACAAGCACTTTTTTGAACCTAAAAAATCAAGCCACATTACATTTACTAAGTTTATTGCTTATAGAAATATGATAAATCTCAATTTCACATATATTTTTCAAGGGAACAATTATATCAAGACAGTTCTACTCTCCTTTTTAGTTGATAAACCGATTTTCTACCCTTCTTTTTAGTTGACATGCGCATAGCCACATAGGAGACTCAGAAAAGACAAGAATTATTTACAGGGGAGGATCATTCTTTATATACACTTTACCGAATGGAAGTGTTTTACGTCCTCATCAAAGATGTAAGAAGGTGTCAAATCCGTACCACCACCAAACCACCACTGCCTTGGTGCTCCAGGAGCATCTGCATGCAATTTGGACACAGATGAAAGGTGATTCACACAGCTCGCCTATTTCTTTTACTTGCAAGAGGATGAAATACAGTGCGCAGACTGAAGATACAAATAAGTTCCTCACAATGCTAGTTCGATTAATTTTTTATGAACTAGACATTAGAGGAACTTCAATTTTTCGATTTAGCACCATTAATGCCTCATTTCCTTACACTTTCTAACAACAAAAGAAAGATTATTGTATGATTATTTTTGCCATTACTAACAAAAAGTGAACTTCTTGAGTTAACCATTCAGACCGTCCTGAGAACAAAAGACCAAATTGCCTTAAGAATTCTTATTCATCTCACTTACCCTTTGATGAATGTGAAACTGCAAATGTTCCTAAAGAGATAGAAAGGACCATGGTGCCCTATGCCAGTAATGCCTTATGCAAAGAAGCCAAGAACAATTTCTAAGGGAATGATCAAACTTTGGAAAAATGTACATTTGAGTGTAGCTCAATATTACAGATTTTACTTTTCATTTGCTGGAAACTGGAATTACATTAGCATATAGTTTAAGTGTTCGTGCTCTCAAAATCATATTGAAATGATACCTTTTGGAGCATCGGTTTCAAAATACCGATAGTTGAAATGCAGAGTTGGAGCAAAAGGGTTCTTCGGATGCAGAACCTAAGGCAGGTACAAAGAATTCATCTCATCAGAGATATGGTTACAATTTACAAAGCTGGTAAAAAATATTAAAGAAATTGGAAACTTACCGAGCTAATCCCAGCAGCGAAAAAGGGAACATGGCCGGCCTTTACATTGCCATTGTCGGCGGCAGAGCCGGAGGGCTTGGCAGCACGATAGGCCTCGGGAGGCATGTTTCCGTAAACGACGGAGACATTGACGCCGGCCTTTTCAAATACAGCGCCGTCCTGCAAAACCCTACTGATCCCACCGCCCCCGCCAGGGCGAGACCAAACGTCTTCCTTAAACTTCCCCTCTCCATCCACGGCCTCCAAGGCCGAGCAGACGCTGTCCTGAACCTCCCTAATCATCTTCTCAAAGCGAGCCCTCACGGAATTGGACTCATTCCCCACGCCGGAGAAGCTCCCGTTATCAGAATCTCGCAGGAACGTATCGGGCCGGTGAGACTCCGGCGTTTCCTTCTCGATCATTCGGGGCGACGAAGAGGAGAGCTGAGCACGCAGACGGAGCCTGCTCGCACCGGAGTTTTTGGTTATACTAGGAAGACTGAGTATAGAAGGAGCGGCATAAGAGGAAGAAGAATGGAGTGTGGCCGAACAGGCGGCCGGCGGGAAGGCGGAGGCGGAAGAAGAGTGCGTAGAGGAGAGAATCGCGGTGGTCATCATTTCATCAAAATGAAAAATTGAAACGTCCGGTCGCCGGAGATATAGGTGGAGCCGGGTTACCGGTGGGTGTTTATCGATCTTGAGTTCTCCGGAATCTTATAAATGATGATAAGGCAAAAGAAATGATCCAACGGCCAGCGCAGTACATTGACTTTTTTGCCCACAGATTCTTTTCTATTTTTTATTTATTTTTTATTATTTTTTTCATTTGTGAGAATCATAGTTATGCAGTCTAAAACCCAATAGGGTAGCTCAAGTGATAAATGAGAGTAGTTATGCTATGCATCCGTGTGCACCATGCATGGTGCATACGGATGTAAAAACGACGTCGTTTTATTAAAAACACGCGTCTCCCCTTTAAAAAAAATTTCAAGTTCGATTCCCAGCAACAACATTATGTTGTTCATTCATTCTGGAATTTTAGTTCATATATTATGAAATTTTAGTTCATTGATTCTGGAATTATAGTTCATCGATTATGGAATTGTAGTTCATCGATTCTGAAATTTTAGTTCATAGATTATGGAATTTTAGTTCATTTATTCTGGAATTTTTAGTTCATAGATTAGATTCTGGAATTTTAGTTCATAGATTCTGGAATTATAGTTCATCAATTCTGGAATTTTAGTTCATATGTTGTTGCTGGGAATCAAACATGAATTTTTTTTTAAGGGGAGACGCGTGTTTTTAATAAAACGACGTCGTTTTTTGCATCCGTATGCACCATGCATGGTGCATACGGATGCACAACATAATTTGCCGATAAATGAGTTCTCTTTGTGGGGAAGGATTCCAGGATAATCTGGGTTCGATTTCCACAAGTGACGGCTCCTTATGAGCCAGCTTCTATGCCTCTGGACCTGAACCGTTAAACGGACAGAGAAAGACTTGGACCACATTGTGATTTAAACCACCAAAAATCGTTACGCGGTCTAATTTTCTCCCGGTCTCAATTTGTCTGCTAAATTTTAAAATCCTAAATGGTGAATTTTATTTTATTTTTCAATGCAAGTTTCTAATGCAACCCTTACTCCTTATTGTTTTTCTCCTCCTAATGACATGTATTAAATAAATCTTATTTTAGAAGTATAATAGTTTACAAATTATACAAAAAATATAAACTGTATTAGAAAAATCTTGCATGGTAAACTTACTAAGAAAATAGTGATAAGAAAAACCCAATAAAAATATTGTATACTCACTACTCAGAACACCGATATCTCGAGAAACATCATTTATGTTTAAAAAAAAAAAAAAAAACTACTCCGTATTAAGTTTTAAATATGTTATATTTCACTAATCAAAACAATATTATGTTGACTTTTAAAATTTGAAATTGGAGTTTTTTTTTTTTTTTTTTTTTACTTGGGGGTTGATATAGAAAGAGTAATCCTAGTATATTCTTAGTTTCATACCCACAGTTTGCACTTTGCACCACTGTTTTGAGAACTGCGGTTTCATCTAAAAATACTTCTTTTTTTTTTTTTTTTTTTTAAGGTGGAGTCATAATCCATCAATTGAAATTTTTTTGGCATATTTTAGTAGCAGACGAGTAATCAAAATTATGCAATTAGTAATATGCAAAAACTTTAAAATTCTAGGGACATCATTGTAAAATAATTAACAGACAAAATTGGATTTTCATTCAATGTTAAAACTAGTTGTAAGCGCCAACTATTATGTAGTGTGATAATACATTTGTTATTATTTTAAATGGGTAATTATAAGAATCCCAGTGGTGGGAACATTGATTCTTTGAGTTGAAAAAGATTGGAAAAATATATAACATTAATACTAACTTATAAAGAATTAAGTGCTTCAAAAAGAAATTAAAAAAAATAAAGTTGTGAGCGATACTTCAATAATTATTTTTTATGATAATTATATATATTACTTTTATCATTTTTACAATGTAATTTTAATAATTCTAATATTCTATAGTGCACTTTCAAACATTATTTGATTTTAGGTTAATGTTTTGCCCTAATAAGAGCAAATACCAATTTTGGTTCCACCTGTATTAGTAAAATGACAATTTTAATTCACATGTTTAATTCCTATTATCCATAACTATTGTTTTAGTGTCAAAATTTATTACGTCGATCACTCATTCGTTTAAGACATGTCAAAATATGAAATTATTAAGGGTATTTTCATCATTTTCAGATAAAGATCTAAATTTGAGCATGAATAAAGAGATTTAAGTCCTAAAATTTATTCCAATTCGCAGCTCTCCTCCTCAAAATAAGGTAGGATAAGGAGGATAACTATGAATTGGAATTGATAGATCTTAGGACTTAAATCTCTTTATTCATGCTCAAATTATAATCTTAAGTTGAAAATGACAGAAATGCCCTTAAAATCTTTAGATTTAGCATATCTTAAATGGAAGGGTGACTAGTGTGATTAATCTATATATATATAAAGGAAGCCGGAAGCTGGCCAATGAGATTCAAGCATTTTCCCGCTCATTGAAAAGGTCATCATATTGCTTCTTTTTTTTTTTTTTTTTTTTTGAAAACTATTTTGCTATTGTTTAGGTTGTTGACTTCTTGGACTCTATTTTTTAGCCATTCTTATTGCTTTTTTTGAGAACAAAATACATAGCCATTCTTATTGCTGATTGGTGAGTATCCTGTACTTTTTCCTATCAATCAATCAAATATCAATGTAGCGTGTGGTTTTCATATACCCATTCCCAAGGTTTTGTGTGGCGTGAACATTTGGTAATCATCTACATCATCTACACAACCTACATAGACCTTTGCTTATATATAGAAAAGTGTTACAAGGAAACAAAAACCGAGTGCTGCATTCTTCTTTGACAATTGAGGCTTGATGTCTAGCCACTTTGTTCTTGGGTCTCAAACCCATCTTTATCACACCCGGAAAGCCATGAGAGTACTTTTAGAGCACACATATTAGCTGTTTGAATCAAGAACACAAAAAACAATCAAAAGCATGGAATACTTATTTCATGATGTAGAGGTAAGTAGATAAATTTTGTAATTTTCTTTCAAAACATTGTTAGCTAGACACAAAGGAGGTTGATCAGTAAGAACTAACAGGTACAACTTCTCATTCATGTTATTTATATTCTATATAAATCATAGTAAATATACTTCTAATACGTACTTCGTTATATAGTATCAGATATTATTGGATAGGTGATGGAGATATACTCTCCATAACAAGACTTATAGATTTCCTCATTGAGGAAGATCCTAAGTTAATATTTTTTGTTCACTGTTTTATATTCAAACAACAATTATGAATTTCTATATATTCACAAATTAGAGAAATAGAGCACTAGAAATTGTACTGTGAGCAGAGTTCTCATCAATAACTATTAAGATGAATGAAATCTTCCAAATTATATACCAAGACTTATTCTCATTGTCAACACTGCTCAAATTGAGGGGAAAAAAAAATATAGGAGAACTTCAATCTCATTTTTATGTTTATATGCATTATAGAGCTAGCCCTACCACTATGCAGTAACCATTGATAGCAAACATTGAGTACACTATAGCAATTCTAAATAGTGATTTTTGAGTTCTCTACCAGCTGATATATATGGCATTCAAGAAACAAACATGTTCAATATATATTCATTCCGAAGGGAAACTTTTTCAAGTGGATAGCAAACAAATGCAAGAAGAATGAAAAAGTTGAAGGGGTCAACTACTATACATGGAAAGAGAAAACACAATATTGAAGATAAAGGTACAATATAAGCATACTTGCTATTTTAGATTCAAACTCTTTATCAAATATTGACTTACTATTTGTCTTGCAGTATTTTCCAGTTTTGCTGTACACATGGGTCTCAAATCTGCAACATATTTATAAAACAACTCATGTTAAAACCAGAAAAAAAATTCAGTTGGAACAAATTAATTTCATAAATAAATCTGTCATTCCATCTGATTTAGATAGTCAATAGTATACAAAGGCTAGATCTTTTCTCTTTTTTTTTTTCTCATGTCATTAAATTCATATTTAGACTCTTTACTTACAGACCATTCCAATTATTCATTCTTAAAATGTTTTTATATAGCCTTACATTCTAGCTTTGATTTTTTTTTTTTTTTTTTTTTTTTTTTTTTTTTTTTTTTTTTGTGGGTGTGTGTGTGTAATTTCATGACGAGGTAAGTAACAAAAGCATTTATAGATGTTTCCAAAAAATAATGTGTGTGTATATATATATATATATATATATATATATATATATATATATATATATATATATATATATATATATATATATATATATATATATTGTAACCAGGAAGGACCAGGTGGAGAGTTTACATTTAACATTTGCATAGATTCGAGAAGGTTTCTAATACTGTTCAAGCTTGCAGATTGGTGAAGATAATCTTTCAACTAGGACTGGTGATCTAACTCAGCCTGGGCAGAATGCATAGGTAAAACTTTTATTGCATTTAACAAAATTTAAATGCATCACAATAACTATTTTTTTTATTGTATTTAGGGTATTTTTATTCTCAAGCGGTATGTGTGTGTGTGTGTATGTATATATATATATATATATATATATATATATATATATATATATATATATATATATATATTTTTGTATAAATATATAAATTTTTTACATAATATTACAGTAATTTTAAGCTCACAAATTAATCTCACAGAAATTCAAATTTATTTTTTGACAAAAAAAAAATTGAAATTAATGTATATATGTAAAGAATAATTTAGATTAAATAACAACAACAAAAAAAAAGGATTTAAGAAATTTATTTTACTCCGGATTATTACCAACACATAGAGGAAGAAATTAAGTATACTTTTTTTTTTATTATTATTAAAACATAGTACAGGATACAATTCTAATATTAAATTGCAGGTAACGAAGATTAAGAATGACAAGGACAAACCTGGTTTCTCCTTGACTTGGGAAGAAATGCCTAAACAAGAGAGATGTACCTGGTTTCTCCTTGACATCGAAGTAGAGAATGTGGAGGGATCTGGACAGAGTAGCTAAACAAGAGAGATATACATGCAATGACAGATGGAGAGGAAGACGACAAAGAAGACATCGGAGGGAGACAACGAACCCATTTTTTCCATTATGGTGTACTGGTGTTGTTAGGGTAAGAAGTGAGACATGTGGTCTCTAAGCTGGGTTATGTCAAGCATGGGCCGGGTTGGTTGGATTTTATATTGGGCTGCAAATTTGGGCTAGATGTAAGACTTTATATAACAGACATAATAATATGTATATAGATGGATTGGTACAGTTAAGTAGAAATCAATCCTATTACATGGAACATGGTCCACACAATTATGTGGACCATAAATAAAAGTATATTTTAAATATACTAAGGGTACATTATATATGTATGTAAGGAACTTTCAATATAAAAATAATATATTTTTAATATATTAAAAATATATTTGATATTCATAATCCATACAATTAGAAATTGAAATATAAATAAATAAATAAATAAATAAATAAATAAATATATATATATATATATATATATATATATATATATATATATATATATATATATATATATATATTATTAGAAACTGTCAGTGAAATTATTATCATTATTATTATTGCAATTATTATTATTATTGTTATTGCTATTATAATTAGCAATATTATTATTATTATTATTATTTAGATTATATACGGATAGGTTAAAAAGAAAAAGTAAAAAAAAAAAAAAAAAATTTGACCCTATGTTTACATCTTACAAGTGTAGCTAAGCAAACATTTTTAATATAGATATAAATTTGTTTATAGTCAATTTTAAGATTGTAAATATATATTGCTCTTTTTTTTTCATATATATATATATATATATATATATATATATATATATATATAATTTTAAAACAAATGAATTTAATAATTTAACTAAATTAGTATAAAATGTTTATTTCCTTTTTAACTATAATATATTTTATTTGAAGACAACATTAATGTCATACTTATAAGTAATTGAGTAACAAGTGTGGCTAATCAATATTAGATTATGAGATGCTCATTTGAAGCTATACGTTATTTATTATAGTTTTGATTTAGATTTCTTGATAATTTATTAAATGTAATAAATCATGTATTTGTTTTATTGTAGAGTTGTATATTGACATTGGAGATTCAGTTTTTAAGGTGCGCTCATTGTAGTGTATTTTTTTGGTCCGAGGAAAAACGTAAAAAAGTAAAAGTTAATGATGGTCCAAGATATTCAGTTTGTTGCTCTAATTGAAAAATTAGGTTGCCGAAATGTTCCATCAAAAACTATTATTGAGTTATTTTTCAAACAATGCGCAAGAAACACACATTTTTTGCAACATATAAGATTGTATAATAACATTTTCTATATTGTTATTTATTTGTTATAAACTCTTAATTATATTCATGTTCTCACTAATTATTATGAGTTTGTATACATAACATAACATAATATATATATATATATATATATATATATATATATATATATATATATATATATATATATATATATATATATATATATATATATATATATATATATATATATATTTCTTTTTTTATTTTCATACCGTGCAACGCACGGGTGGAATACTAGTTGTGGTACTAAAACAATAGTTGTGGATAAAAATTGGTACTAAAACAATAGTAGTGGATAAAAATTAAATTGATAGGAATTAAACATGTAGACCAAAATCTCCATTTTACTAATACTCGTGGGACCAAAATTGGTATCAGCTCCCCTTAAAATTAACAACATTTTTTTTTTCTTTCTTTCTTCTGTTAGATGTTTAAACTTTTTCCTAAAGTTATAATTATGGCACTATTTTCCAATCCCACTAATCTTGTTTGATTTTGACTCCTGGGTGTGGAAAGTAATTATAATTACTTTTGTAATATAGAAACAGTATAAATAAATAAATGTTATTTATTACACACTGTAATTAATAAAGAATGTTATTTAAATATGTGTAATTTTTATTAGATTCCATATACATCTAATAATATTGCCCCTACTGAAAATTAATTCTTGAAAAATAAGTTTGTATACTAATTAGTAATTAATACACTTTCCATCTCAGTTGATGTAAAGTGTGTGTATTGTGGGATATAAATATAACATATATCCAAACTTAAAGATTTACCATGACTCTTTTTTATTTGTCAGGCTATGAGGTGTATTATATGCAGACTAATCTCTAAGCCGATTCGCAAAGTGCTGGCCAGATTAGTTTTTTCTATACAAGAGGAGATTCAAACTTCTGACCTCTCTTAAAGAATTAGTGCACGGTCGTTCATGTCAACCAAACTGAATTATCGACACTTTGTGACAAAAGGTGGAATATAATCGTCCACTCCAGACGTCCCACCCTGCTTTAGAGAATGGTGGGTTGGATGCCGGTTGACACCCTTGAATCTTATGCATGGTAAAACCCCAAAATGAATGGTAAAGATTGCAGTTGAAAACCTAGCATATATATATATAGTTTGAATTACATTAAAATAATGAATATAATTCAAGGACATTTAGGTCCTCCTTCTTGGGTCTTCCAATCGTTATAGCAGGAACAACATTCCTTGTTTCCATAAGTACCAGGTGGGACGCAAAGGCACCAGTTGCAGCACATGTTGCAGAACATCAAACAACTCTTCTGGTGAGATGTTGCTGAACATCTCCTATTGCATTCACTTCCACATTCTTCCAAACACACAAAAATTAATCAAATTAGTACTCCAATTTATAACCACATGGTAATTTGAGATTAAAATTCACTAATAAAGTGTTTTTTTTTTTTTTAACGGTTTGTCCACATAAGACCTTCTCACGAATCTTTATTTGTGAAAATGGTCAAGTCGAGATAGAAATGTAATGCTTATGCTGAAAAAATTTAATACTAATTATGAATAAATTGTTTGTTATTTCAAGAAAAAAATGTAATATTTTAAAATCAAAATGTAATATTTAGGGGTTGGATATATTGTTACTAAAGAAAGTGTAATACTTGTGAAGAAAAATGAGATACTATAGCTTTAAATCTAAATGTAATATTAGGGGTTCAAGAGTTACTTATGAGGAAAAGTATAATATTTATGAAAAACTCAATTCATCTCATAGATGAGGATCCATGAGACGGTCTTATAGAAGATTTTACTATTTTAAAATTGAATATTCTTCCCTAAAAGTTCTGAATTTAAAAATAATTATTAAATGTACAAAGTAACATATATTACTTCATAGACGAACTACTTACGATTTGCGGGCACAGGGCAAGTGGTCGGACCAACAGGGGGTTTTAAGACGAGTGCTGCATCAAAACCTGGTCCTGCCTGTTTGTTTTCACAAGTTTAAATTCTAAACTAATTCAAACTAAAAATATAATGACAAATGATTTATACTATTTTTCAACTAATTTTGTGGGTAGATTATTTTAAATATTAAATAATTAAATAAAAACTTACCATTGAAACGTCAAAAACTGTCAATAATGCAACGAAGAAGAGGATGAAAGTATATTCAATTCTTGAAGAAACGGCCATAGCTTTTGAGTGTTCTCACTTTACTCTTTCTTTTGGTATAGGGGAGAGAATTATGTGAGTAACACAACAACAATCTGCCTTTATAGAGAAAGAATTGTTCGGATCGATATGCAGTATTTGAGAAAAAAAAAAAAGAAAAAAGAATTGTTTAATATCCCCACAAATAAATAAAAAAATATTTATTTAATTCACATTAAATATAATTGTATAATTCACAACTTTTAGAAATTATAACATGGTCAACAAACCCTTAATTTAAGTAGAGAATTATTATTGTTTTCCATTAAGTCATCTATAATGACTGTTGAATTCGGGTGAAATTTTTAAAATTACTGAAAAAGTTAATAACCAAAATAATCCTTCACGTATGTCACAATTTCCAAATTGCCAGAATATGTCATTAACTATGCTAAATTTACACAATTTTGTACTATGTCATTGCCATCGTTAAAACCCCATTTAATTCAATGTCAAAACATAATTTAACATGTTAATACACAAAAAGGTCTGTAATTCCGCCATAATTTCTGCGTTGGTCATTAATTACCAATTCTACCAAATTACGTCATTGATTATGCAAACCATACCCATAAAAGTTTGTTATTAATTATTACACATTACACCTGATACATCTCGCTTGGTTTGAGGGAATTAGAATTTCTCTCTACCAATTCCAAAGACAATTAAATTCCTTCATTTAGAGGAAATTGTAATTCCCTCATTTCCACAAAATTAGAATCTCATTCATTCTCTTAGTATTTTCAGCTCCGCAATTTTTGGGAAGAAAAAAGAAAAAGATATACTTGAGAAAATATTACACTTCTTTTTTCTAACCTAATTTTTTTTTTTTTAAGTTGCTTGTTATAATAAGTATGTAAATTTTCATTTTTATACTACTTATTCCCTTTCAATTCTCATGAATACCAAACACTGGGATTAAAATTCTCTGTAATTTTATTTCTGCAAACAAAATACTGGAATTTAAATTCTCAGTCTATTCCTTTCCTATGAAATTACAATCCCTTCCCCCACCCACCCATAATTCCCTCCATGCACCCGAACACCCTATTTTGGGTAGAATTTTCATAATTGAGGGCATAATTATTACAAACCACTAGTATGTTCACCAGTTGGTTATCTTCTCTAGTCACCGGAGAAGGCAACCAACTCGTCTGCCTTCTCCTTCCCCGGAGAAGGCGACCAAATTGGTCACCTACTCCGACGACGATTATTGACAGTTTTTGACCAAATTGGTCGCCTCCTCCAAATGTGATCGACAACTGTCCAGTCACCGGTGATTATTGCTGGAAAGTGTTAGAAAGGTTGTCGATTTCTGGGCTTAAATGCTTCAAAATAACATGTTTATGGGTTTAATTACAATTTTTGAAAGTTTAAGAGCCTAATTAACTTTTTGAGTAAAGTCCAGGGGCCTATTTGACATTTTTCTCTCTAACAAGATAAACTTACATCTGTTGCCCCATACATGACTCCCGCCTTGTGTGTTGCTTATAGCCATCACAGACTTTCGTAAAATCCACCTTCCACAAATTGTCTCCAGAATAGTTTAGGTCGTGAAATAAAATTAGGTTTAGCGAGATTGGGGATTTTGGGAGAATAAAAGTGTAAGTTAGGTTTGCGCAGCTGGTGAAGGTAGAAATGCGGGAAAGAGTGAAAGTCCTATTATGCCCTCAAAAGAGATGTCCAGTTAACATCCAAACTTACGAAGGACCATATCGGACACAAAATCTATACTTGAAGACTTAATTGGCAAAAAATGATAGTCGATGACCAATTTGGTACTTTCGTCATAGTCAAGGGACCAAAATGGTAATTAACTATATATATATATATATATATAGGGAGCAGCTCAAGTGCGAAGATAACTTCCTGTGCAAAAGTGCGGTGATCAATGCTCTTTAAAAAATATTCTAATTTAATGCATCTTATGCTTCGAATCTACGCACCTTAAGATGGATTAACATAAATATGGTTTTTGTAGAGAAAATCTTATAAAGAATACTAGTTGTGTTTTGGGAATGAAAAAAAAAAAAAGGTGCATCCTCAATTAAAGAAGCAAACTGTAAAAAATGGCGCACCTTAAGAAGGAAAACAACGCACGCCACCTTAAGAATGAAAACAAAGCACCTTATGAAGGAAAACCACGCACCTAAAGCTTTAGACCGACACACCTTAAAAAGGAAAACAACGCAACTTAAGAAGGAAAACCACGCACCTAAAGCTTTAGGGCGACACACCTTAAGTTTCAACAACTGACGCACCTTAAGTATACAAACCACACACCTTAAGAAGGAAAACCACACACCTAAAGCTTTAGACCGACGCACTTAAGTTTCAACAACTGACGCACCTGAAGCACACATCATAAAAATCATGCACCATAAGAAGGAAAACCACGCATCTTAAGAAGGATAACCACGAACCTTAAATTTGACCAAGATGCGAAAAATGTAGATAGTTTACAGCCATATATATGTAGGATAAGGATCAAATAAAAAAGTCTCATTAGGTAACAAATGCGGATAGTTTACAGCCATAGATGCAATCCAAATCAACAGCCCAAATTGAATTTTAATTAAAAAACACGCGGTGACATATTTGTAATTTTGGATAAATAAGTCAGCTTGTGTTTTGTTTTCGAGTGCACATTTGTCCTTCTTCGAGTGCGCATTTTCCCTTCTTCAAGTGCATACTTTTTCTTCTTCGAGTGCATCACTTTTATTTCAGTACTTAATTTCTATTTTGAATGCACATCCTTGTGCCTTTGAGTGCAAATCTTTTGGCTTTCAAGTGCATGTTTTCCTTTCTAAGAATGCATAATTAATTTCATTCGAATTTTCCCTTTTAGTGTCTTTTTTTTTTTTTTTTTTTTCTCCCTTGCCTTCTAGTTATCTCTTTATGCTTTCAAGTGCTCAATTTAATGGCTAAAAGTGTATGTGTATCTTACTATTGTGTAAAAAAAAAAAAATTTAAAAAAAACTTTGCATTCAAGTGAGCCCTTTTGCCTTCAAATGCACAGTTTTATGCCTTCTAGTGCATGTTTCTTTGCCTTCAAGTGCACAACTTCTTGACAGTATTTGTTATATCTTGTGCATTCTTTTCAATAAGATATAACTAAATTTCTAATGAAATTTGTGAGATTTACAAACAATTTGTATGGATAATTGATTTAATAACACTGAAGTTGAATAACCTTCATTTTTTGCACTATAAATTGCATCAATTGCACATCTATTTGCCTTCGAATGCAACTTTTTTACCTTCAAGTACACATTTTTTACCTTCAAGTGCATGATTGTAAGCCTTCAAGTGCACAAACCGCATTTTCGCACGAGAAGCGACATGTACACCTGATCCTAAACCTATATATATATATATATATATATATATATATATATATATATATATATATATATATAAAAGCTAATGTTCCAGTGAAACATCTTTTCATAGAACTGTGAGACGCAATATGAATGTACAGTCTACTACATGAATACACACACTAGATTGTGTGCACTCATGTTGGGCAAATTATACACACTCTAGTCTCTGTGCATTTCTGTAGTAGACTGTGTGCATTCATGTTGTATATATATATATATATATATATATATATATATATATATATATATATATATATATATATATATATATATATATATAATATAAAGATTGTTTACGAAATTTACATAATCAAATATAGAAGTTAATAATATTTTATATTATATTAATTTGATTGTTTACAGAATTTACATAATATTCTATATAATATTAAAACTCTAATTAATTAGAATAAATTATGACACATATTTAAATAAAATATTTGAGCCTAAATTTGATAAGGAAGATAATTATTCTCGTAATATTCTCTCAATCAAATTATATTTTGACCATAAGTCAATTCTCAATTTCAATAATTATTGACCACAACCATCCTTTTTATGGGACTAAATCACAACAACATTATATTGCAGTCGAAAACCTGGCATAGTTTTAATTAAATTAAAACAAATAATATAATTCAAGGACATTTAGGGCCTCCTTCTTGGGTCTTCCAATTGTTATAGCAGGAACAACATCCCTTGTTTCCATAAGTACCAGGTGGGACGCAATGGCACCAGTTGCAGCACTTGTTGCAGAACAACAAACAGTTACTCTTGTGAGATGTTGCTGAACATCTCCTATTGCATTCACTCCCACATCCTTCCAAAAAAAAAAACGAATTATTCGATAGCTCAAACCAAGAAAGTCAATAAGTTGTTATAAACAAATTATTCGATAGCTCAAATCAAAAAAGTCAATAAGTCTTTATAAACGAATTACTTACGATTTGCCGGCACAGGGCAAGTGGACCGACCAACAGGGGGTTTTGATACGAGCGTTGCATCAAAGCGTGGTCCTGCCTGCTTGTTTTAACAATTTTAATTTGAAAATCAAACCAAACTAAAAGATCGATAAAAGTAATGGTGACACTATTTTTTCGACTTATTTTGTGTGTAGATTTGATTAGTAAGGGCTTATTAAAATGATATGTGCAATTCAATTTTTAAATATTGAATAATTAAATACAAACTTACCATTGAAATGTCGAGAACTGCCAATGATGCAACGAAGAAGAGGATGAAAGTATATTGAATTCGTGAAGAAACGGCCATAGTTTTTGTGTGTTTTCACTTCACTATTTGTTTCTTTTCCTTTTGGTATAGGGAAAAGAATTATGTGAGTTACCCTAACAACAATCTGCCTTTATAGGTAAAATAATATGAGAGAAGAAAAAATAATATTCATTTACACTTATGTGGGAACTGAATCACCGTGATTTAACTTTTTCATAACCGTTAAAAATGAAGGATTTTACTATTAAATTTTACTAATTAAATTACATCTTCAAAGTATGTAAATCTTATCCATAGTTGAGGGTGATGAATACCCAGTATAGGAAGCCGGTCAGACCACTTATACACCCCATAACCCCCAAAATAACCACTCATTAATTACCCTACTAAAACCTATTAAATGACTATTTATTTTCCTATTCAGCACTCATAAAATCCCTTCATAAATCATAACCCACCACCACTAATTAAAATATCTATTAAATTACCCCTAAAACCCAATAAGGCAATAAATCACCTTATTAACTACCATGAATACCAACGGCTTATTATTCTATAAGAATGAGCCAGAAAAGCAAGAGAATGGGTGGGGGGGGGGGGGAGCTGATTCATGTTCACATGAGAAGACTTCGCAAGAAAACTCCATCACTCTAGATAGAAAAAAGCTTCATTCATACACAATGTAACATATACAAAATCTCCTACAATAATATAGTAATTTTTTAGGTTTGACATCGCTCAAAAATGCCCGTTGTTTTTTTTTTTTCGATTTCCACGTAAAAATTATTGTGTCAATTCTTTTTCTACCTATTTTTTATATTATATTTCTCAGTGATTCACCAACTTTTCTGGTTGTGTTGGACCCCGGTAGGCTTTCCAAATTCTATTATGAGAAAGATTTGCATAATCAATGACAATTTGATAGAATTGGTAGTTAAAGATCAATTTGGAAATTATAATTTTTTTTTTGGGTCAGACCAGACCACGAGGCGTCCTGAGCATGCCCTAACTGTAAGAGGCATCTTTAAGTTTGTACCATACTCAAACTAATCTCCGTTCGCACCGGACCGTCCCAATTAATAAGTAAAGTGTAGGGATGGCAACGGGGCGGGGCGGGGGCGGGGAGTATACTCCCCGTCCCCGTCCCCGAATCCCCAACCCCGTCCCCGTCCCCGTCCCCATCCCCGGCGGGGAATTGAAAATAGTCCCCATCCCCGTACCCGCGGGGAATTAGGCGGGGACGGGGATTCCCCATCCCCGTCAACTCTTCGTTAAAATTTTAAAGTTTAAAAATAAAACCTAAATTTTAATTTTTATATATATATATATATATATATATATATATATATATATATATATATATATATATATATATATATATCTTTATTTATTTATTTAATTATTTATCTATTTAATTATAAAAATTAATTGGGGACGGGGCGGGGAGGGGTATCCCCGTCCCCGACGGGGAATTGCTTACATTCCCCGTCCCCGTCCCTGTTCCCCAAAAATTTTCCTTATCCCCATCCCCATCGGGGCGGGGATTGGGGATCCCCGTCGGGAACGGGGCACATTGCCATCCCTAGTAAAGTGTTGACCATATAGATTTTTTTCCATACGAGGATACATGCATAATTTCACATGTTAATATGCAAAAAAGTCTGTAAATTATGCCATAATTTCCAAATTGATCATTAACTACCAATTCTACCAAATTACAGCTATCTAGAAGTGGGTAGTTGTGGCGGTAACATTCCTTGTTTGACGTTACGGATTCTAATTTTTAATTTTAATTTAATAGAATCCTTTGGTTTATTCTACTGCATAAGATATGTTGCATCTAGGTTCTAGGGTTGGATTACGGGGTGGTAATCAATCAATTATTGCTAATGAGACATCCGTGTGGCCTTGTATTACTTATGCGAATATATATATATATATATATATATATATATATATATATATATATATATAAATGAGTCCATAAAAATTAATCCGGTACATTAAAAAATAGATCTATTAATAAAATTAATTAGAAGAATTAAAATCGTAATGTGTGTGTGCATATGGAGCATGAATTGGGAATATATATATATATATATATATATATATATATATATATATATATTATATTATATTATAAATGATAATTAAAATTTATCATTTTAAGAAAGTGTGGAATATAATTTGAACTAAAAGATTTTAATTATTTTTATTTATCAATATTTTAATATTATGTTTGAATTTTCGCATATAGCGTGTACAAAATGCTAGTGAGAATATAAGTACGGTAAAACAGCTAATAGTACTAATTAAATTTATTGTTTTTTATTTTTAATGCAATCATCATATCATCTCATCTAGCCAGATGAAACTCAAATCAAATGCTGTAAGTTCACCCTTGATCTCAAGCACATATATATACACATGACGACTATCTGTGGAAGTTTTTGGGTGGGTGAGATGAGTCGTTTTCAATTTCAAGTCCTCGAACCTTTAGACTTTAGTAGTGTATAGATTGATGCTCCGGCAAGGGCACCAAGAGTTGGAGCAATCAAATATATCCATATTGATTTATAGTTTCCGGCCGCCACAGCCGGCCCTATGCTGCGCACTGGATTCATAGAACCACCACTAGACGGCCTACACAATTCAAAAACAAAATAATAAACCACGTTATTCATAATATAATGGGTGTGTTTGGTAAATAGCAGTATTGAAAAACACGGTAAAAAATTGAGGTTCGGTTGCCTAGGAGCCCGGCCGTGGAGGAAGCCGATTTCGGCATTCCTCGACGCGGCTGAGCGCCGCCTAGTGCCTAGGCGCCGATTAATCGGCACCTAGGCGCGATTTTTGCAACCATGGTAAATAGCTGATAGTTGTTGAGTGGATTTGACTAGCTAGTTAATAACATTAGTTGAGTGTAGAAAGATGTTTGATAAATTGACGGTTAGCTGATAGCTGATTACCTGCAGAATGACTTTCTCAAAAAGTTGCTCGAAAAAGCTACTTTGAGCCGCTTTTTGAATTTAGCGTTTTAGAGCAATAAGTTGTTACAAAAAGCTAATTAATCAAACACTTACCTGTTTGGTAAAACAGTTAGCCAATCAGTCAATTTTGACTTATTTGACCACTATTAGTTGTTTGATTTGGTTAAACAATCAATATAAGTGTTTGATTAATTAACTTTTTGTAACAACTTATTGCTTCAAAATGTTAAAATTAAAAAATTAAAGTTGCTCAATGTAGCTTTTTCGATCAGCTTTTTGAAAAAGTCATTTTGTATGTAATCAGCTAACAACTAATTTACCAAACACTTTTATACAATCAATTAATGATATCAACTCGTCAAACTCACTAACTCAATCAGCTAATAGTCATTTACCAAACACCCATATTGACTCTCTAACCAAGTCAAATAATTAATAGTGGTCAAATAAATTAAAATTGATTGATAAATTACCAAACAAGACCAATATTAATCTCGTATGTTTGAAAATTTAACATTATTTTTTAAAAAAAAATGTTACATGTATACTTTCTCAACCTACTGAAACACAAAGAACCAATAACATTTCCACTGAAGCTTAAACTCACAACCTTTCAAATGGAAGTCCAACCCGGGTACCGTTAGACCACATAGTCTTAATATGTTACATGTCATTATTTAGTTCTTAAAATATGAGATTCTTAGACGTAATATGATATTTTTAAAAACTATTTTTTGTTATATTTCTCCCAAATTATTAATAGTATGAGAATTTATCACTCCTCAAAAGTATTAGTTTCATTTAACCTAGCAAGCTTGAAGCTATGATTCATGAAGTTAATTTAGTCTTCTCACCCGGCAATAAGAATGTTTAGCATGACTGTTGCTCCAACTGCTACACCAGCCAATTCTCCCACCTACAAAAATTAGAAAAGAAATACTTTAAGTAGATAATATTTGATAGATTCTAAAAAAAAAAAAAATAGATAATATTTGAGATATAGTTTTTTCATTCATTTTAATATTCCATGATATGTTGATGGATATTAATTAGTCCATGATATGTTGATGGATATTAATTAGTTTTAAGGAAAAATTTCATCCCTTGATGTGTATTGTATATGTATCAAATTCGGTCATTGATTATTAATATTTTCAAATTAGGTGCATGATTATGTAATTTATATCTCATTTGGACATGCCGTCTAATTTTTTGGCTAAGTTTCCGGCCAACTATTGTCAGAATTTTGACTAGAAAAATATATTTTTTTCTGGCTATAGTTGGTTGAAAATACCCTTTTAATTAGAACATTTTTTTTATCGTTGAAATTTCAGCAATAATTGACATGAAACTAACTGGAAAATAAGACATCATGACTAAATGAGATACAAATTACTTCATGCACTTAACTTAAAAATATTAATAGTCAATAATCAACGCAATACAAATTATATATGATGCACTTCACTTAGATAGTACAATAGTCAAGACACCAAAAGTGATTTTTTTTTTTCTTTTCTTAACATTTTAAGTGATCATGAGAAGTATAAAAATGATTTGTTGTAATAATTTGTGACTATCTATATACTCACCGCACGGCTATCTGTAGCAACCGCAGTGACAACAAAGAGTAGATTAAAGGTGATGAGGAACTCGAGCGCGAAAGCTTGGCCGGCGGCGACTGAAGGGACGGTGACGCCGCCGGACATGAAAGGGTGGAAAATGGCCTTGATAGCTAAAGAAGCAGATATGGAAGCCGAGACTTGTGCCACTATATAAGCCGGGACTTGGGACCAAGGAAAATGGCGGAAGGCTGCAAAGGCAATGGTGAGAGAAGGATTGAGATGAGCGCCGGAGATGTGGCCGGTGGACAGAATAATACTCATCACGGCCAGGCCGGCGCAAGCAGCGTTTCCGATCAAGGTCTCCGCGCCATTGTACTTTTGGTTCACAATGGGTGCAGCCGTTGAGGTGAATATAAGGATAAATGTCCCCACAAACTCCGCCCCCACCTGAAAAACGATGGGTAACACTCATGTAAGACCGTCTCACGAGATTTGGATGGAATCTGTAATTAAATAATGAGCCAAATGTTTGATTAATAGGTCAGGTCTTTGACCTCATTAATCAAATATCTGACCAGCCAAACGGTTTGACACAAGTTTTTGTCAAAATCGAAAGTTTGAATGTGAATATATATAGAAACCCGTTAGTCAAATGTCAATGTGCACAAGAGATCTATCAACTTTGAGCTACACTGTTATTGTCGAGGTTCAAACATAAAACTACTTACTGAACTAGTGAGCTAATAAACTCGTAAGACAATAAGCACTCAACACTATCTTATTGAAACAAAGTCTATAATCACTCTTGGAAATTATGTAATTTCCGACCACCTGAAAATGATCATAAATCAAGTTGAAAGAAAAAAATGGTTGAAAATAACAACAAAGGATTTTCTGGATACCAAAAGTGGTCAAAATAAGACTTTCGACTAAATTTAAGTGGTTGGAAATTTCATAATTTTTAGCTGTGAATTTATCTCTTTTTATAAATTATAATCACTAGAGCAAGAAGTGAGGGGCCCTCAGGCTTCAAGTTTAGGGTTTAATTAAAACTAAAAGGCTCAGACTAGGCAAAAAGGAAGAAGAAGAAGACCGGAAATGCATGCATGCATGGCCGGCCGGCATGCAATTACCTTGCGAGCAAGCGGAATTTCCGTCGACGGTGCAGCGTCCAAAGCGGAGCACTTGCAACGAGGTACTGGATTCCGATCACACGGCGGCGAGTCTATCCGAACAGAGGTGAGAAACGGCGTTGGGGTGCCGCCGGAAGTCGCCGGCGGAGCTCTAGCAGCCTCGTATTCCGGCATTTCCTAGCTTCTTCCTTCACTTCAATCAAGATTTAAATTTGTCTTGCAAGCATTCATTTGTACAAAACACCCCTTTATATATAGATACATATATGATCAACCAACACCTTTTCATGCAATTTTATAGTATTTATATCGGTACTTTTAAATATTAAATTTAAAAATAAAATAATCAAATTTATCTAGAAATGGTGCATGAATAATACTATATACTAAAATGAAGAATATAATAATATACTTATTTTTTTGCCCATTTTGATTGATTCAGATGATCATATGCTTAACTCTTCTAAAAAAATGCCCAATATTAAAGAGTTTTAAGTCAAATTTTCTTATGCATATATATATATATATATATATATATATATATGTTCGACTTTTATAAAGAATGTGCAATAATGGTAAAGAATTCTGAGTCAGACTATAATGTTAAAGAGTTTTGAGTCAAGACTTTTACCCACTATAATATTAAAAAGTTTTGAGTCAAACTATAATGTTAAAGAGTTTTTAGTCAGATTTTTACCCACTATAATATTAAAGAATTCTGAGTCAGACTATAATGTTAAAAAGTTTTGAGTCAGACTTTTACCCACTATAATATTAAAGAATTCTGAGTCAGACTATAATGTTAAAAAGTTTTGAGTCAGACTTTTACCCACTATAATATTAAAGAGTTCTGAATCAGACTTTTTTCGAGTAAACGATTCATTCTACGCGCACTCCAATGAGATTTGTGGTTTAAAAGAGGAAGCAGTCATGATGGAACAGATACCTTGCAGAAGGTTCAAGCAACCCAATAGGCAATGAAATATATATGCCTATAGCTATTCTTTAAGCAGGAAAGCATTACTCCTCCCCCATGATTTGAAGCAGCTTTGCATTTCATCAGAGATAATATATTTCATTATTTGTTTATTACAACACTACTGAGGAGATTACAGAGAATTCTTGCCACCAAATTCATCAGCTTCTGCTAAAAACACATGCAGAGAATTATATTATTGCCACCATTCCATTGCCCAAATGAAACAATTAAGGAATCCTTAATGGCCAAGATAGTGTTTCATTCCTATCCATTCTTCCACATGCCTATCACACCTTGTCTTGCAGGTAGGCTAGAATAAACACTGCCAGAGCTCCCAAGGAAACCCCTAGTAAAGGACCTGCAGGGACTAGTTTGCGGGAAGCACCCAACCGTATTCCTGCACAACAAAGTCGAAACAATTATATATTGTTGAATTTGGAAGATGGAATGGCCTGACGGAGGGAGAATAACGCCACCACCGCCAGTTAGGCGGAAGCAATAATTAAGAATCGAAGAATGGAAAATGTATAGATAATGTATGATTTTGTATTATCTGTCTGTGTTTCTAACAAAGAAACATAGTACATATATATATATATATATATATATATATATATATATATATATATATATATATATATATATATATATATATATATATATACAAACACATAACTGTAAGTAACTGTTTCGCCTATTCATAAACAGACAAAACCCTATAGATAAACCTAACTCTTTATTTTTGCAACATATATAATTGTGGATTTGTGGGTGGCGATATGATTACTCGATTAGATTGTTGAGTGAATAGGAAGGGAATTGAAGGCTTACCGAATACACAAGCAAAGAGGAGAGCCGATCCGAATGCTAGGGCATCACCTAATTCCTTTGTCTCGGATGCTTGCATCAGAAAATAAGCCTGCAAAGGAGGGGAATGGAAAACCTTATCCAGTTCAGGGCACCTCAGACAGAATAGATACGTCCTCATGTTTTACAAGCAACTCTTATTCTAGGTAATTATAGGTGCAATGCAAAAGGAATAAGCATCAATTGTAGGCAAACAGAGCCTTGATAAAGACAATTATCAGGAAATGAATTGAACAGAATCCGGGAATAAGCCATCCATGTTTGCAACTTTATATCTCAAGAACTAAAGATTCCAACAGTGACAAAAAATGGCAGGCCGGCTCTCAAAACACTATTCTATATTTCTATTCAACGATCTACCAACACCGAAAACCATAAATCTCTGTGGGCTATAGGGTTACCAGAGCCATGGATAAAGCGAACTTTAATCTAATTCCTTTTACCCCCACTCATCAATTGACCAAAAGCTAAAAGCAAGAACATCAGAAGCATTACAAACAGTGAAACCGAAACCTTAACAACCAGAATTCAATTCTCTACCTAAACATTTGATCTTTTTATTATTCCTAAAAATATCAAAGATAAAGCAACTTTCAAGACTTCCATATTGTCATAAAGAGTTAAATACTACAAACTCTAAGCATCACTATCCATGACATCTAATAGTCAGCTAAGTTGGTAGGAATCAAACTTAATGTCACCATTCATTTCATGTCTTTTTGCAAGTTGAATTCTATTATTATTAATTCTTTTTTTTTTTTTTAATTACGAGAAAAACTTACCACCATTATCCGAAGGTGCGGGGTAAATCCACCCTAGTTGCAAAAAACGACTAGGAAATAAAACAGTCTAGATTACCCATATTCGACTAGCTCAAATCAACGCTGCTCCGACTAGGAGTCATACTTGTAACCTTAAATTCTATAATTCTAGATAGGAAGTTAACCACAACAACTATCACTAAAAAATGGATTTTTTTTTTAACAGTTTAAAGAATGAACTAATAAAAGTTTGCAATACTTAACTGTACCCATAAGTCCAGCACCGGTTAAGCCGCCCAGAAGTGAGCCCTTACTTCCAGATCTTGTATCTGCAAACCAAGAACGTATTTTGGGGGTTCAAATGTGACAATTATGCACAAATTGGAAACAAGAAAAGCAAAGGGCATACAGGCAAAGAGGCCGCCACCAAACAAAAGCGTTCCATAAGCTGCAGAGGTTAGAGGTGCGAGGTCTATGGTTGTCAGCTGACAGATACAGCGGAGACCGGTTGTCGCAGTGGCGGAAGGCTGTCGGCGTTTCTGGGCCGGAAATCTTAGTGCATCTAAGGTGGTAATGGTAGAAGAAATGCGGGATAAAGATGGTCTTGTAGGAAGCGGCGAGAAGATGCTGACATTGCTGCAAGAACCCATCGTCTCCCCCGTGAACACTGCAATTCCGGCGATAATCCCGGTTTTTTTAAAAATAAATTTTACTCCGTATTAGTTGGGCTAATTGGAAAAAAAGAAAAAAGTTGGGCTGATTGGGCCAAGCTTGCGTAGTTCAAATAAATAAAAAGGAAAAAGGTATAATCGTTATACCGTGCACCACGGCGCACATAGCAATGTGCGTACCGTGCCTCCCAAAATGACGTCGTATTGGTGCATTGTCCAAACAAAAAAAAAAAAAAAATCTGTCTCGAATGCATATAAACTCATAACAGAATACACATAATCTTTTTTTTTTTGAAAGCTACCGACTCTATTACAATACATAATCTAACATAATATATAATAGACATAAACTCTTAACACAATACACATAAACTCATAACATAATACACATAAACTCATAACATAATACACATAATCTAACATGATACACATAATCTAACATGATACATATACACAAAAACTCTTAACTGAATACACAGAAACTCTTAACTGAATATCTGAATACACATAAATTCTTAACTGAATACACAAAACTCTTAACTGAATACACATAAACTCATAGTACAATACACAAAAACTTTTAACTGAATACACATAATGGGGTTTGGGCCGTTTGGACGGACGGAGTGACGTCAGCAATTGAAATGCGCGCGTATTGTGCCTGGGCGCACATTGCTATGTGCGCCATGGTGCACGCTATAAATTGTCAAAAAGGTACAAATAGATCATTGAATTATTTGGGGGATAGCAATTAAGCCACCAAACTCGAATAAGCTCCAAATTGATCAATGAATCTGCAAAAAAAAAAAAAAAAAAAAGTGCAATTAGCATTTTTAGTAGGTTACCAGAATGATTAGGAAGTCATGTGAATTTTTTTATTTATTTTATTTTTTTATTATTATCCTACTAAGTATTTGACAAAAAAAAAAAAAAAAAAAAAAAAAAAAAAAAAAACTAAGCATTATGACGAAATAATACCACAGGTAACTGAGTCAAATTATAGATCCATATATACGGTGAGTGTTAATATATTAATATATTAATTCGGTAGTTAGAATTATTGGTTCAATTGATTAATAATTTCTATATAGATCCATATATGCAGTGAGTGTTGTTTGTGATGGATTATCCAACCGTAACAGATCAAATGAGATGGCATCGGCTGGGATCAAGGTTTGAGAGGGTAGAGAGGTGGTGAGGTTTCAGAGGCAGTTTATGAAAGTTTTTTTTCAAACTTTGCTTCTCGCCGTTCTTTCGTAGTGTGGCCGCCGGCCTCTGGCCGACACTATCCTTGGCGAAGTTAATTAATTATTGTAATTAGAAATATATGTTCTTTAAAAAAAATAACCTACCTTACAATATAGCTTTGTAAAAGTAAAAGAATTGTAAAATTTAGGAGTAAAGAAATAGCCGCCTTACACAATTAAGTAAATAACTACCGACAACTACTGACCAATATTCTATTCTCACGATTTTGATTAATACGCAAATTAAGCATATTCTTGATAATGTGTACAACATAATGTTTCAAGTAGTAATAATAATGTAATATGATAATTTTAAAAAATATAACGAACCAAACTCTCCCTTAGCCTTATACTATATAATTTTGTTGAGTAGGTATTGTATGAGATTGTCTGGTGGGATGGTCTTATACAAAACTATTCAATTTGTTTAATTTATTTATTCAATTGTTTAATTTAGTCGCTTTTTAAAAAATTTGATTCATTTAATTCTCAACACTTTAAAATTTAACAAATTTACAATACATTTAAAACAAAACCAAAAATAGAAAAAAAAAAAACAAACAAACAAACAAACAAAAAACTTACAACACATTTGCTTCCTAGAATATGTCTGGAATGGAATGTCATTTAAATAGGTCTAATCTGTTATTTATTAATGGTTTTTATTCATGGGAATGTATGTGTTATTCGTTTTGCAAAGAGATTAGAATAACTATTTCGAGAGTTCCATTGCTATTAGGTTATTCATAAATTCTCGAAAATAATTTGTTAATTCTTAATTTACTTTTTGATTTTTTTTTCATCGTAGCACTTCTCTATCTTCTTATATAACACTTGTTGAAAATTAATCATTATTAATATTTATATATATATTTTTAACAGGAAAGGTTTTGGGTGCGGAGAAGGGTTTCCGTGCGGTTGACGCACTTAAGCATTAAAATTGCGCAACTTAAGTACACGTACGAACCACGCACTTTAATCACACAAACAAAACACCTTAAGAACACAAACCACGCACCTTAAGTACACAAATCACGCACTTTAAACACACAATAAAGCATATTAAGAACACAAACCACGCACCTAAGGTTTTAAAATGGCTCATCTTAAATTTCACACAATTGACGCATTTAAGCATACAAATCACGGACCTTAAAAAGGAAAACAATGCACCTTAAAAAGAAAAATCACGCACTTTAAGTTTCAACAACTACTTACATTAAACACAAAACCCACGCACTTTAAGAAGGAAAATCACTCACATTAAACACACAACCCACGCACTTTAAGCACAAACCCCACGCACCTTAAGCGCAAAAACCACGCACCTTAAATTTGACCTAGATGCAAAAATTACCAAATTACCGCCACATTTTTTTTTTGATAATCCTAAACGTTAATTTAAACAAGATCAATGACTCATATTTAACCGCACAACTGCACTTGACCGCACCAACCCCATTTTAACCTAATTCTTTTTTAACATTACTACTATTAGCCGCGCTTATCACGGAGTAGTGAGTAGTAAATACTAATGCCGCTGCTTTCGTTAATTAGCCGCGCTTATCACGGAGTACTAATAATATAGATAAGCAAAATGCTGCTAATAATATTCTTTTCCATTCTCCAAAATCCAAAAGAATGTACAGTTTGGTCGGTCTTGCTTTTTCTCCAAATGAATCCTTAAAATATACAAACTACTGGCCTTGAGTTTTGACAATTCCCAACTGCCACTAAAGCATTTTGGGAAGAAGTCTGGTCCCACGTCTTTTTTCATTTTCCTCTTTAAATAAAGTTTTTCTTTTTCTTTCTTTCTTTCATGAAAGGTCCAAATTCCTAACACTTCACATAAGGTTGACGGCATATAAACATTCACATTAATACAATTAGTCAATGCAGGGCCGTATTTTAAGTTTTGGTGGCCCTGTTCTAGTAAATAAATGTGGCCCTACCAAAATCATAATTTTTAAAACTAATATATGCAAGTTTCGAACCTTTGACCTCCAAGTTAAAATACAATAAATACACATTCTTACCATCTCTTCATGAAACCTTTAAAGTTTAATTGAAAACTTTTTAATTTTTATTTTTAAACTAGCTAGGTAAAAATTAAATATTGAACCTCTAAAATTTGGGGCCCCTCTAAAATTGGGGGCCCTGTGCGGTAGCCCAGCTTGCACAGCCTAAAATCCGGCCCTGAGTCAATGGAGTATATGTGTACTTTGATTGATATTTTTCAAAAAAATATTTTATTTGTTCACTCTTCTAAAGTTACGATGATAGTTATAGAGTGAAATTTTGATTAATTAAATTAAGTTATTATTTGATGGAGATTTTCTTACACATTGATAACTAAACGCGTTACTACGTTGGAGTGCGTATGATGAATTAAGGAATTAGAATTAGGCCATAGGGTTGGTATAGGCTGGCTCAAGATGCATGGGCGATTACTGAGTAGTCCTAATTCACATGTAAAGCTTTTATAGTGTGATAATTATGTTATCCGACTTTATGATTCTTATTGGCAAAAGACGGTAAGAAGGTAAACTAACAAGAACACTAATAAGTTCTTGGAGAATCAAATTTATAACTTTATGATTATCAACTAATTGTCCAACTAATTTGACTAAGATTTTTTTTTTTTTTTTTTTTTTTTTTGAAGCAAAAAACCAACTGAATGCATAAGAAATTAAAAAGTGTGAAATACACAGGGATAGGGTAGACTCCCACGATCCAAGAATAACCATGAAACTAGTTGCTTGTGCAGTTGTGCTAACACGTCAGCTATCTGATTCGCTGACTTTTATCTTAACATGGTGAACCGATACGTTCTCAATGTCAATTAGGATTACCCTTAGTTCCATTATTCTTAAATCTTATATGAAGAGCTTTGCTCACCTTATATATTTTGCTTTGTTAACATGGATTTTATATTTATTTGTATAACTTTTTGAGGGAGGGGACAATAAAATCATATTTAACAGTAAAAATATCACACCATATAACATATTATGATCGATTAATCTTGAAATAATAATATTATGATCTTGTTTAGTGACATAGTTAGCTAATCAATTAAGTTTAACTTATTTGATCACTATTAGCTATGGTATTTAACTTAGTTAAACAATCAATCAAATGAGCGTTTGATTAATTAACTTTTTGTAACAGCTTATTGTTTCAAAATGCTAAAATTAATAAAACTGCTCTTTTTGGATAAACTTTTTGAGAAAGTAATTTAGCATATAATCAGCTATCGGCTAATCGCTAATTTACCAAACACTTTTTTAAAATCAGTTACTATCAATTAGTCAAACCCACTAACTCAATCCGCTAACAACTATTTACCAACACTCCAAATATATTTTAATTAAAGTGTTCATTAATCAGGAATGATGTTAGATGAGATTTTAGGACAAAGCTACTATTTTTGTGTTGACACTTGACAGAGCAAGAAGAGATGGAGCAGGTGTATCGGATGTTTTATGTGGATATGCATAGGAAGAGGAGACTGTCTCCATGGAGACAAACATTATGTATATTTTCACTCTCACCCACTCACCTCTCCCTTTTATTACACTCTATTCCATCCGTGTTCTCAACTCTACAATTTCGCATCCCCGTTTCCGCAGTCTTTCTCGCATATCCAATCCCTATTACCCGCTTCTTCTTCTTCTCCATAACAGGAATCCCTTCTTGGGTTTCTTCATTTTCAGCTCCCATGGCTTCTGCTTGTGGAAAGCTTTCATCTTTGTCTTGATGCACAGTAAGTATCCTATTTTTACCTTCATTCTTTCACTTTTTCTGTAAAGGGTACCCTTTTGCTTTACCCCAGAGTTGTGGGGATGGGGATGGGGAGGGGGTCCATGTGTTTTTCTTTTTGATGCAACTTAGATAACACCTGCGCACGTTGTTGTTGTTCTTTATCATTTGCTCTTTATTTGCAAACCGGCATTTATGATTTACCTTTGACTGTAAGAAATCTTTTTAAAAAAATAGTGTCTTTGAGTCTTTGGGTGTTGTTTATGTATGCATATAAGGTGGGGGGTGTGGGTTTTCATGTCTGGTTATTAGTGTGTTTTAAGGTAATCTTGAATGAATTGAAGTTGATGTGAGCTCAGGCAATGAATGATGTCTGGTTTTTGGCAGGGGTGAAAAGATTAGAAAGGAAGTTGAAGGAAGAGGGTGATTAGAGCATTGTAATAACATACTTATTCTGTGCTGTGTTCCCACTTTTTCTCTCTTCCTTTGCACCCCAAAGGCCACCATTATAGAGGTATGTCTAACAAAGTTTTCTTGAATTGATTCTGATTGTTATTATATATATATATATATATATATATATATATATATATATATATATATATATATGACCCTTTACTCATCTTTACATCTTTTGTATATAATATGTTCAGTCCATGTAATTAAAGAAGATCTTAAGCATTGTGTTACACTGTTTTACTCCTCTTTGTGGATTCAATTCCTTTTTATGCAACTCACTGCCAAAAGGGAAGATAAAATATCATTGAAGAGAATGGTTTTGGAGTTTAGTGTTGTGATTCCATGTTATCCTTCCTTCTTATGAATTGCATAGAGTTAATTCCATTTTTGGTCCTAAATTTATAGGTGACAGTCTATAGTTCTTTTTTATCAGAACTTTCCCATTTGGTCTTAGTATTATTGCGAAATGACCATTTTTGGTCATCTATCAACAAAACAGTTTTAACGCCTTTAAATACAAAAACATTTCTGTCTTCAATTCTTTTTTATCATAACATCCCCATTTAATCTTAGTATTATTATGAAATGACTATTTTTGGTCATCTATCAACAAAACAGTTTTAACGCCTTTAAATACAAAAGCATTTCGATGTCAATTACTTATTTTTTTTTTTAAAAAAATAAACATAAAAATATAGCGGGGTCAATTCACTTTGTATAAAAACGATTGAAATGCATTTGTATTTAATGACATTTTAATGATTTTGTTGACGGAGGACCAAAAGTGGTCATGCCACAATAATACTAGGACCAAATGTGGATGTTCTGATAAAAAATAACTAAAGTGGACTATCACCTATAAATCTAGGACTACAAATAGAATTAACTCAATTGCATATTTTGGGGCAGCCAACTTGATCAGGCTGTTGACTCGATAACTACAAGGTTGCAAGTTCCACTCCCAGTAGGAGTAGCCTGTCAGCCTTCTTGGTTTGAACCGATCCGTTATAGACAACCTAGGTTGGTTTACCTCCTTGTAGTCCTTTGCCGGTTAGGGTCATGGTTTCGGAGTTTAGTAATGTTGTGATTCATTTTTAGCATTCTACAAATCATGTATTTGGGTGGCTTTTGGTGTGATTGATTTAGATTGGTAAGCATTATTGGGTGGTGGTGATTGTAGATGACAAAGGAGTATGGTGGATCCCCAAAGATTCAACAGCTGGAAACAAGGAGAAAACAGCTAACATGGATTTTGGGAGTAAGTGGCCTCTGCATCCTATTCTATATTCTAGGAGCATGGCAAAGTACAACACCTCTCCCTTCAACTCAATCTGAAGTTTACAAACGCGTTGGCTGTGATAATCAATCCTCCCAAACAGGAAATCCTCCTGAAGTCCCAACCCCATCACCATCATCACCATCATCACCATCATCGTTGTCATCGTTGCCACTGCAGCCAGCCCCGTTCGACTTTCAGAGCCATCACCAATTAGAGGTGAAGGATTCTTCGGAGCACGAAAACTTTCCACCCTGTGGTATGAATTTCAGTGAGTATTCTCCATGCCAGTATCCACCGAGGGGAAGGACATTCCCTCGTGACATGTTAAGGTACAGGGAGAGGCATTGCCCCACAAAGAAAGATCTCATTAGGTGCCTCATTCCTGCTCCCCCCAACTACAAGAGGCCTTTCCCGTGGCCCCAGAGCAGAGACTATGCTTGGTTTGCCAATATCCCCCACAAAGAGCTTAGTGTCGAGAAGGCCGTTCAGAATTGGGTCCAAGTGGAAGGCGACCGCCTAAGATTCCCAGGAGGTGGCACTATGTTCCCCCGCGGAGCTGATGCTTACATCGACGACATCAATGAACTCATCCCCCTCAGTAATGCAGCCATTCGAACTGCACTCGATACAGGCTGTGGAGTAAGTAAACCTCCCCTCTCCCTCGTTGTCTATACACAATTTCATTGTGCAATGTTTCCAACAATGATAAACTAATGTGAGCTGCCACTACTGGAAATTATGGAATTTCCGACCACCTGAAAGTGATCTTAAATCAAGTCGAAAGCCTTGTGGGAAGATCACTTTTGGTAGCCAGAAAAACCTTTGTTGCCATTTCCGACCACTTTCAGGTGGTCGGAAATTCAATAATTTCCAGCCGTGTGCTAATAAGTAATAATGCTTTCATATATATTAGGCTAACCAGTTGTTTCTAATGGATATTCTAAGGTTGCAAGTTGGGGCGCTTTCTTGTTGAAACGAGACATTATAGCCATGTCTTTTGCCCCGAGAGATACACACGAAGCACAGGTTTGGTTTGCACTCGAGAGAGGAGTTCCAGCTATTCTTGGCGTGATGGGTGCCCAAAGACAGCCATTTCCTGCACGAGCTTTCGATATGGCTCACTGTTCCCGCTGCTTGATACCTTGGGCGGACTATGGTAAGCTCGATCTCCTAGACCATGGCAAATGTTAAGATGGAATATAATCTAGTAGGAGATAGACATAGATTGTTTATTATCTATCTGTCCATTAATTGTCTCAGTTGAAGTGTTTCTTGGTTATGGTTACAGATGGGCTGTATTTAACAGAAGTGGACAGAATCCTTAGGCCGGGAGGGTATTGGATACTTTCGGGGCCTCCTATCAACTGGAAGAAATACTGGAAAGGTTGGGAGAGAACGAAAGAAGATTTGAAGCACGAGCAAGATTCGATTGAGGATGTTGCCCGACGATTGTGCTGGAAAAAGGTAGCTGAAAATGGCGATTTGTCTGTGTGGCAAAAGCCTCCCAACCATTTTGGCTGTTCCACGAGAAGATCAATGGCTAGTTCAATACCCTTCTGCAAATCGAACAATGCTGATGAAGCTTGGTACAAAATTCTCTACTATCAAAACTCTGGTTTACAAGGTTTATTTGAACTTCTGGACTTATAATAGCTGATTTAATTTAATTTGAAAGGTACAAAGATATGGAACACTGCATAACCCCGCTGCCTGAGGTAAGCAATGTAGATGAAGTTGCGGGTGGGGCATTAGTGAACTGGCCAGAACGGGCCTTCGCTGTTCCTCCTAGGATTCTCAGTGGTTCAGTACCAGGAATCACACCCGAGAGATTCAAAGACGATAACGAGGTGTGGAAGCAACGGTTGTCATACTACAAGAAGCTCGTGAGTGCCTTACCCCAAGGGCATTATCGCAACATAATGGACATGAATGCTGGTTTAGGTGGCTTTGCAGCTGCCTTGTCGAAAATCCCAGTTTGGGTAATGAATGTTGTCCCTGCTCACATACAGCCCAACACTCTCGGCTTAATCTACGAACGAGGCTTCATTGGCACATACAATGACTGGTGCGAGGCCTTCTCAACCTACCCTCGAACCTATGATCTCATCCACGCTGCCAACGTGTTCAGCATCTACCAGGACAGGTAACAATAAATAGAGTACAGAGCATATTAAGAAGGAACCAGTTATAACAAAACCACAAGACTAGGCTTGTACAAAACTACTAACAGACTAAGTCTCAACACACAATGCAGGTGTGACATCAGCTACATTCTGCTCGAGATGGACAGGATCTTGAGGCCGGAAGGGGTAGTGATATTCAGAGATGTGGTGGAAGTGTTGGTGAGAGTGAGGAGCATAACAGATAGAATGAGATGGGAAAGTCACATTGTGGATCACGAATCTGGACCGTTTAACCCGGAGAAGATCCTCGTTGCTGTCAAGACTTACTGGACAGGCAACACTGAGGGACAACAAAGATAGTTGATGTTTTTCAGTTGACAGTTTGGAGGTTGTTTTTTTTTTCATTTTAGATGACAGGTCTCATGATTCATGAACTTGATTCTTTGTAGAAAACTATATTAATCCTTTATCTGTTAGGAAAGCTAAGTAAGAACTAGATTGTAGACTTAGTAGTGCAAGAATGGTTCTTTTTGTTACTCGATCGAGTAATATTTGATAGAATTAAGTGCTTTACATATCTTCATCCATTAAATATATAAGGATAGTTATTGACGAAACAAATTTTATACAAAAAATTAAAAATAAAAATATAGTATGACATTGTAACAGAGTCAGTAATACTCAAAAAAAAAAAAAAAAAACACTGTAAAGCACGTCGGGTCTCAAGTTTGATCACTCTGCCAAGTTGGGGGTCAACTTGTTTGGTTGTTTTTTTCTTTTTGTTTGGCAGGAAAAAAAAAAAATAAAAAAAAAATAAACCTTGTTTGGTTGTTTGTAGGAATGTTTTATTGGTAGTTGGCAAATTATGCCCTGGACCCGTGTCCACATTGAATTGTGGACACGGGCCCAAAACGACGTCGTTTTAAAAAAAAAACGCGTCATTTAGTTATAAAAAAAAAAAAAATTCGCGCGCGTTTTGCCGTTAACGACGTTATTTTTTTTTTGATTATGAATGTACAGTTATGCCGTTATGAATGTACAGTTATGCCGTTATGAATATACAGTTATGCAATTATGAAATTATGAACACAGAGCTCTAACATTATGAACTTACAATTATGAACATATATAGTGATAAAATTATGACCATGGAGCTTTAAAATTGTGAATATAGAGCTTCGAAGATTATGAATGTACAGTTATGGAGTTATGAATGTACAGTTATAGAGTTATGAATGTACAGTTATGGAGTTATGAATCTACAGTTATGAGATTATGAATCTACAGTATGGAATTATGAATGTACAGTTATTGATCGAATTATGAACAAAGAGCTCTAACATTATGAACTTACAATTATGAACATATAGTGATAAAATTATGAACATAGAGCTCTAAAATTGTGAACATAGAGCTTCGAAAATTATGAATGTACAATTATGGAGTTATGAATGTACAGTTATGGAGTTATGAATGTACAGTTATGGAGTTATGAATGTACAGTTATAGAGTTATGAACGTACAGTTATGGAGTTATGAATGTATAGTTATTAACATATAGTAATAAAATTATGAACATATACTCTTACAATGAAGCGGTCTGAAATTAAAAAAAAAAAAAAAAAAAAAAAAAAAGGAGATAACAGTGCCTAACGGCACTGTTACCCGTGTCCAGCAAGCATGCTGGACACGGGTCCAACGCATAACGATTGTTGGTAGTTGCTACCTCGTTTCCATTTGTGTAGGCATGTATATATGGGCTCGAGTCGCTATTGTATAGACCATGGTTCATAAGATTGTATGGACAACAAATAAAAATATATTATTTGTGTACATAAATTTATAAAGTACATTATTTAAAGATATATTATTTTGTATATTATCAAATAATATACATTCAATACACAAATAATGTATTTTTAGTATATTAAAAATGTATTTTGTATTAAAAAAAATTATTTAAGTACTAAAAATATATTATTTTGTATAATGTACACTCAGTGTACAAATAATGTAAAATTAATATATTTTTTTTTAAAAATAATTTTTATGGTCCACACAACGCTATACAGACCATGGTCCACATAAAAATTTGCGGGGCTAACCTTAACAAGTTTGCAAAATTTAGCCCAAAATCATTTAAGCAACAGACGGTGCATACTCGCATGGTGGACAGTATTTCTCACAATCGTTATACGGTGGATCATGTTTTACAAAAGTCACAAATATGTATATTGTCAAATAAATTTATAGTAGAATTTTTTGAAATATATTACTACGAAAATAATAATTTCCAGAGAACAACAAGTACAAGAAATCAAATGTTAAGGTTTAGTATGAGTCAAGCGAACTTTTCGCGTTGTAACCTAGGTTTCACACAGAATAAAACGTACTACGGCTCAATATTCTTCATGCCGACGTACACAAGTCAAGGCTTTTTAGGCTCATCACCCTGTGCGTGAGGGAGAACCTTTATGTTATACAATTCAACCCCCTTTTAAAAGGCTTTGTATATATAGTGGTGTGGCAAATTCCATTTTCCTTCACCTATTATCCGTTTTGAACGTATAATATATTGATCTCTTCGTCTCACTACGAAGAACGTGACTCCACTTTGAGAATCAATTTTTCATTCACCTGTAGATCCATAATTTCTATACTGTAGATCCATAATTTGGTCCCTCATTTTATATGATTAGAATTGTTTTTAATAATTTATATAATTTATTTATTCACAATTAAAAATATTTTTTATTATAAATAAATACATAAATTAAAAAATTAAAAAAAAAAAAAAAGAAAAAAAGAACCGCCACAGCGAACAGCTGGTGGCTGTCTTCTTCACGGACAGTCGTGAGTTGTGACTATCCGGCAGGACGGCCACGACCGTCTAAGGAAGTCGGCCATGACCGACGAAGGAAGATGACCATGGCCGTTTTCAAGATCTGGAACGAGGGCTACGGCCTTTGCCGCCGCCCTCGTTCCAGTCCCCTCCGTCTGGAACGAGAGCGGCGGCCATGGCCGTAGCCCTCGTTCTATATCTAGAAGACAGCCATGGTTGTCTTCCTTCGTCGTCCATGACCGTCTCTGTGAAGAAGACAGCCACCGGCTGTCCGGCGCGGACAACCGGTGGCGGTTCTTCTTCTTTATTTTTAATTTTTTTTAATTTTTTTAATTTATGTATTTATTTATAATAAAAAATATTTTTAATTTTGAATAAATAAATTATATAAATTATTAAAAACAATTCTAATTATATAACATGAGGGACCAAATGTGCTACATTATGAACAATTAAAGGGTTTGGTTTGTTCAAATCAATTGATAAGGGCTAAATTTTTAAAAGTAAAACAATTGAGGGGCCAAAAGCCCAAATTTCCCTTAAATGAATTTATAGTAGAATTTGTTGAGAAATATTACTACGAAAATAATTTTCAGAAAACAACAAGTACAAGAAATCAAAGATAGTCATCATGACTACATACACAAGTCAAGTCTTTTTAAACTCATCATGCGCGTAAGAGAGAACCTCTATATCATACAACTCAACCCCCACTTAAAAAACTCTTGTATATATAGTGGTGCAAATCCCTTCTTTTTTGAATGTGGGATAAGTGCAGTGGCTGACCCAGGATTTTTTGTCAGCGGGGGCGGAACATTACAACGAAAAAGATAATTTGAAAAAAAAGATGAAATACTTAAAAAATATAATCATAAATTTTTTGATAAAATAATTACAATAGAAAATGCATTATAAATTACACATCTCAATATATATAGGCTAATTATTAATAATAGTAAAAAATCATAAAACCAATATTTGTGCATTACAAGATTCAAACACTTGACTTTTCCAAAAGCCTAATACACACCTTACCGACTAAACCAAATCAACACTTATTAACACTTTTGTGTTTTATTATACTTATACTTAAACATATTCTATATATACATATATACATACAAGGATAATATAGGGATGGGAGTGGGGGGAGTGGGGCAGCTGTCCCCATGCTGGGTCTGCCCTTGGACAAGTGCTTATTTCAAACCTTTCCACTTTCATTTTCCAACTTAAATGGTCTACTTTGAGAATCAATTTTTCATTTACTCATTAGCCGTTTTGAACGTATAATATATTGATCTCTTCGTGTCCCTACGAAGAACCTGAATCCACTTTGATCGATCCAAATAAGAAGTAGACCACACATATATTTGTACCACAAAATAACACTTACAATGTCATTTTTAGCTATTTTTTCTAACAGAATTAAAATGATACTTTAGTGTCGTTGCTATAATAAATTTATTTTGTGTATAAAATGAAATTGAATAGCAAAGCTTATACATATATGTATATTGTCAAATGAACATTAGTAAAATTAAAATGACATTTCAGTATTGCTATAATGAATCTGTTGTAGGTATAAAATAAATAAAAGTGAATAGCTAGCATAGTTCACATAGATATGTATATTATCAAATGAACATATTTTGAAATTCAAATACTTCGTAATATTTTAATGTTATTATAATGAACCTATTGTGGATATAAAATAAAACTAGATAGTATATATATGAAATGTAATTAAAATGATATTTATCGTTATTATAATGAAATCAGAGTACATAAAAAGTGAAACTAAAACAAAGCTGTTATGAAACAAAAAGAAATGTGGATGTCCAAGTTAAGTTTTGAACCCTTGACCTTGTGTATAAAAGATGAAGTCTTCTCCACCAAGCTACTTCGACCATAAGTTATACTTGCTGCTAAGTCTTCTATTTGTTACATTATATGGTGGTTCACAATTCTCCAAAAAGCTGATTGCAAGTTCCAAGAAGCAGCTGCAGGGAATGAAGCTCAAGACCTCAAGCATGACTCAACAATGCTATATCTTCAACTACCAACTAGGCTAGCTTTGCTACCTGTCCATCTTATGCGAATTTAATATTTATTACCTCCTAAATCTCAACACTATAAATACCCCTTCCCTCCATGATCTTGGATATACAGAATATATGAAAAGCTAATCATATTCTCTCAATTCTCCCATCCGTACTGCTGTTCCCCTTCTACTTCATAATATTAGTATTGTTATTATCATTTTATTATTATTATTATTATTATTATTATTATTCACAACAAAAGCTTGTATATATGGGCCTTACCAAGTTGCCCAGATTGATTTAGCACAAAATCATTGAAAAAAGAAAAAAGAAAAAAAGAAAAAGAAAAAAAAAAAAACATCATGGAACAACAAACAATCTGTGTTACATAATTGCATGGTGGGCAGTGTTTTTCAATTTTTTAATATGCTAAAAATAATTTACAGTACAATAAAAATAAATTTGTAATATATTAAAAATGACTGTTCAGAGTATAAAAATGACAACCATTATTATTATTATTATTTTTTTTTTTGGTCAGACCACGAGGTGTCCTAAAAATGACGCATTCAAAAAAAAAAAAGTATAAAAATGACATCCTTGCATGCTGTTTTTTTTTTTTTCTTTTGATATTTAGAAATAATGAAAAA